AACATCGATGAGAGAGAAACATCGATCAGCTGCCTCCTGCACACTCCCCACTGGGGATGTGCCCGCAACCAAGGTACATGCCCTTGACCCTTGAGTCCGCAGGCCAATGCTCTATCCACTGAGCCAAACTGGTCAGGGCATATTATTATTATTTTTAAAGATAGACTTCTATTTCTTACAGTTCTGGAGGCTGAGAAGTCCAGCAAGGTAGATTTTATTCTGGTGCCTCTTTTCTTGGCTTATAGGCAGTTGCCTTCTATGTGTATTCACATAGCTTGTTCTGTGTGTGGTTGCTTGGAGAGGAGAGAGAGATCTCTTTTCCTTTTTATTTATTTATTTAAATATATTTTACTGATTTTTACAGAGAGGAAGGGAGAGGGATAGAGAGCTAGAAACATCGATGAGAGAGAAACATCGATCAGCTGCCTCCTGCACACCCCCTACTGGGGATGTGCCCGCAACCAATGTACATGCCCTTGACCGGAATTGAACCTGGGACCCTTCAGTCCGCAGGCCGACGCTCTATCCACTGAGCCAAACTGGTTAGGACTTTTTTAATTTTAATTTTTTTTTTATTGATTTCAGAGCAGAAGGGAGAGAGAGAGAGATAGAAGCATCAATAATAAGAGGGAATCATTGATCGGTTGCCTTCTGCACACCCCACATTGTGGATCGAGCTTGCAACCTGGGCATGTGCTCTGACCAGGGATCAAACTGTGACCCCCTGGTTCTTAGGTCAATGCTCAACCACTGAGCCACTCGGTCCAGGCTTATGTCATATTTTGATGGCATGTATTTAATGATCAATCCACGCAGTTAGCATTGGGATCTTAAAATTATGCATTTCCTATGTCACCTTTCAGTATAATTAACTAATACTTCTAAGTCATAGCTTTCATTCTTATTTATTTTCTCGCCAAGAGGATTTTAAATGCTTACATATATGTATGACATAGGAATATACATATTTTCATCTACTGTAGAGCCATTGTGGCTATGGTTGTTTTTCATAAAGACAACTGCTCTGAGTCTTCATAAGTTTCATTTTTTGTATCTGTTCCATTTGAGTGGAACTAAGCCCCTACCTAGGTCTCAGTGTTGAGAACTCCAGAGGAGGGCTGGAGGAGATCTCTGACTGCGTTCCTCAGTTATACTGTATGCAGAAGAGTGTTTTCATAAATCTTAGGTATAAATAAAAGAGAAGTAGAATTAGTGGTAATTTAGTTTCTGAATAATCCGTCTAGTGATTTAATAGAAATGTATCCGAGAAGGAGGGAATGCAGAATTTTCCTCCCATTTTATTTCCACATTTTGTTTGTAAATTAAATTTACTTAAAATGGGCCAAATACCTGAGTTAGTGAGCAGCTTGCAGAAAACAGAAAGGGAAATAAGCAATTCAGACAAGCCTTTGATATTGGTGTTAGAGTATTCATTTGACTACTTTATTATTTTACTTTTTATTGAAAAATGAATATAGAAAAATTATCAAGATGTAATGTACATCTTAGTGACTTATGTCAGTTACTTCATACACTAATGGTAGGAATGTGAACTGGTGCAGCCACTTTGGAAAACACTCTGGCACTTGCTCAAAAAATTAAACATAGTTACCATATGACCCAGTAATTCTACTCCTAGATAGATACAGATATAGATATCCAAGGGGATTAAACATATGTCTACACAGAAGCATATACAAGTGTTTGCAGCAGCATTATGAATAATAGCCAAATATTGGAAACAACCCCGATGTCCATCATCTGATGAATGGATAAATAGAATGGTATATCCATACAATGGAATATCATTCAGCCATAAAAAGGAATGAAGTAATGATACGTGCTGTAACATGGGTGGACCTTGAAAACAGACTAAGAAAAAGACCACATGATTCTGTTTGATTAAATGTCCAGTATGGGCAAATCTATAGAGACAGTAGATCAGTGGTTGCCAGGGGTTAGGAGTATGTAGGGGCAAAGGGACAAGGGATGACTGCCAGTGTGTACGAGATTTCTTTTTGAGATGATGAAAATGTTCTGGAAGTAGTGATGATGACTGCCCAACTCTGAATATACTAAAACCCACTGAATTATATACTTTAAAAGCATGAATTTTATGATATGTAAATTACATCTCAGCTGTTTTTTTAAATTATTAAAAGCAAGCCAAACATCCACATATGTTTAATCTCCCAGGTTAACAGAATATGGACCGTGCCCCAGAAGACACCCCCACCCTCTCCCATTTGCCTCCCAATTAATGCGCCAAGTTATTTTTGGGAGAAAAAAAGTTGTTTTTACTGCTACTGTTTGCTTCTCAGAAGATGCCATTGTTTTAGACTAAGCACGAAGCTTTATGCTCTCAGCACTTGCCAAGCCTTGCAGGAAACTTTTTGTAAAGTACCATTTTAATCAAATGATTCTTTGTGATTTCATGGTGCTAATGTGACCTACCTTCGGCAGCAATAGTGCCTGCCTTTCGAAACAGGCTACACTCTGTTGACTTGCGCGCGCGCTCTCTCTCTCTCTCTCTCTCTCTCTATATATATATATATATATACACACATACATACATACATACACACACACACACACACACACACGATACGGAGTTTAAAGTGTTGTTAAAAAGTTACTTTAAAAATTTTTTTAAATTTTTATTTTTAGCCTGGTCTATCAGTAACATGGACTTTACTATTAAATACTTCTTATTTAAGCTACCTAATCATAGCTGCTTCCCTTCTCCCCACAACTACACTAGAGGTAACAGGTTTAATATTATCATTTGGGGGAGCCAGATTAGCATTGATCTTTTATTCTGTGTATCATTTCTAAACTTAAATTTTAAAAGAAACTACCCTTAAATGTTTTTACATGCTTTTATATATTTTAAACCCAAAATAAGGTCAATGTTGATTTTTTGCTTTTCAGTGATGTCTTGGCATTGCCCATTTTCAAGCAGGAAGATTCTAGCCTTCCATTGGATGATGAAACTAAAAACCCGCCCTTTCAGTATGTGATGTGTGCCGCAACATCTCCAGCAGTAAAACTGCATGATGAAACGCTCACTTACCTGAACCAAGGTTAGTATGGTTGTGTCATATTTTGATGTTAGAATTTACAAGAATCCTAAATGAAAGTTTTGACTGCTTAGATTATTGGAAGTCATTTTGAGTTAGATTTCTTTTTCCCTTAAGTTATATAACATTAGTTCACAAAAATTGTAGGAAACATGTTGTGAGCCAACAAAGTTATAGTTTGTGGAGACTTATTTGCATAATGAGAGTCTGTGGAACAAGATTTATTATATGGTTTTTCAGATAAAATCCAAAGAAGGAGCAAGTAGGAAAGGATGTCAGTTATTTTTAGTAACAGTGGTTTCAATGTGGAACTTGAGAGTGAATCAGAAGTCCAGCTAGCAAGGAACCTGGGTCTCTGACATGAAGCATGTACATGCTGAAAACAGACATTAGCTGTGTCAAGATGAAGTCTACGGCTAAAATAAATCATAGTCAAATTTTGTCTACACATACCTTGTTTATGCTTTATGAGACTATTGTATTTTGGTGCTAGAAAAGCGAGAGTGGGGAGAATGGAGAATAGAGATGTGGGGGGGGCAGAATTTACCTTGGGGAAGTATGAGGGATTTTTTTCAGGTGCTCTTAGCAGTTTGGGCACAGGCCAGTGTGACCTCCCAGTGTAAACAAACATACTCTGTTATGCAGGAATTAATTTGTTGGATACATAAAGTGAAAGCATGTGAAATTTTTTTTTTTAGTACGGGTATTTTGTTATAAAATAGTACATACTCATTGTAGAAAAATTGGGAAATATGTCAAGGGATAAAGCTGAAGATTGACTGCAGTTGCATCCCACCAAGATAACTAATTAACATTTAGGTATATTTCCTTGTATGTACATTTATATTTTTTTGTGTTTTTTTTAAATTGATTTTTAGAGAAAGAGGAAGAGAGAGGGATAGTAAAGATAGAAACATCAATGATGAGAGAGGAGCATCATTGATTGGCTGCCTCCTGCATGCCCCTTACTGGGAATGGAGCCCACAACCTGGGCATGTGCCCTGACCGGGAATTGAACCGGTAACCTCTTGGTTCCTGGGTCAATGCTTAACCATTGAGCCACACCGGCCAGGCTACATCTATTTTTTTTAATGGAATTAACATCTATTCACTTAAGAGTATATTGTAATTATTGATCTGTCATTAAGTAGAATCTTTATTCCTTAAACTGTTGGAACGAGTTACAGATTTTAGACTCTAGTGATAACATTCAGAAATATGAAAGAATAGCTTATTTTTAACTTTCCATATACAAGTTTAGGATCTCTGAGGTTTTATTTCAGGTAATTCTATCTATAGCACCTATAGCCGTACTCTAATTTTGTTATTAATATTGATTTAGTATAATGTTGAATTAGTGTTTGGGTAAGCATTCAGTTATTTGAGACTTGCGTGTCATATTTGAAAGAACTGTAATAGTTTATATGGTAATCTGTTTTGGACATAAACCTCTCAGGAGAAATAATGTAGGGGCAAGGATATTCACTGTAGCTTTATTTGTAATGATAAAAAAAAGAAAATAACTTGAATTTTCTTATGTGGAGAATGATTCAATAAGTTCTGTTACATGCATACCTTGAGATGAATGAGTACACACACACACACATTTTAAAGGCATGTGTTGGATGTGTCTGTTCATGGGCCTGGGGAAAATATTGATAATTTATCACTATTATTACTAAGCCAGAAAAAGATAGTTCATATTGACAAAAGTTGCAGTCCACCATCTATAGTGATGATTTGTTAGACTGACATTTACTAAATGCTTACAGTGTATGAAGCATTGTACTAAATAATACATGTGTTATCTTCCACAATAACCCAGGAAAATTTTTATTAATTTCTTTTATAGATTTAAAAACTGAAGCTTAAAGCAGTTGATCAGCTTGCTCAACATCAATTTGGTCAACCTTAGATTTTTAAAAAATTACTGAAGTTTATATACAGTAGTGTGCACAGGTCTTAAGAGTATACACCATTTTAGTAACATCTGTGCATTAGCTTCAGTGGTGTGACTTAAGTATTGACATAATTTACCGTTTACTCTTTCTGTTTCAGAAATTAGATTGTGATTCAGTTTTATTGTTCATGAATTGATTTTCTTGTATTCAAACAAACTGTTCAGCTCCACCAAGGAAGATGACTTAAAATGGCTATGTTGCTGGCTTATCAAAAAAAGATACGCTCACTTTAAGGGATTAGATAGGACAGTGGTCGGCAAACTCATTAGTCTACAGAGCCAAATATCAACAGTACAGCGATTGAAATTTCTTTTGAGAGCCAAATTTTTTAAACTTAAACTATATAGGTAGTACATTGTTATTAACTTAATTAGGGTACTCCTAAGGCTTAGGAAGAGCCACACTCAAGGGGCCAAAGAGCCGCATGTGGCTCTCGAGCCATAGTTTGCCGACCACGGAGATAGGACATTTGAAGTTGTCATTCATCAGCATGAGTTTCATCCCTCTTAAGCTTCCATATGTGAGTTTATGCATTTATTCTAATGAGAAGGAAATAAAGCAGTCACTTTTTTCCTACTAAAATCAAGTGCTATATAACCATATTTTAGTGATGTCATAGCTGTCATGATGTTGTAGTGCACTGGGTTACTCACATGTTTGTGGTGATGCTAGTGTAAACACACCTACTGTGCTGCCAGTGCTATAAAAGTATAGCACATACATTATGTACAGTACATGATAATAAATAACTTACTGGTTTTTGTAGATTTTATCATTATTTTAGTGTACTCTTTCTGCTTATTAAAAAAAAGTTTGCATAAAACAGTGCATTGTGTCACCCTGGCCACAGCCTCGTGCATCTTGTGTTTACTGTGTCTCCTAACTAACAACATCGTTTTCTCTTGTGTTTGATTTAATCTCATATTGTTTTGTTCATTATGGCCCCTGTGTACGAGATCCACTGCTAATGTTGCCAGTAAGAGGCCACATCAAGTGATTGGTATGGAAAGGAAAATAAAATTAAGGATTACAAAGGTGGAAAATAAGTTATGGTTATTGCTCATTAGTTGGGCATGTCTCATTTCACCATAGCTACCATCTTGAAAAACAAAACCAACGTGACAGAAGCTATGAAAGGATCTGCTTTATTGAAGGCACTGAGACTAACAAAAATTCCAGAAGGGTTTATATCAGACATGGAGAAACTTGTAATGACCTGGATTGAAGACTGGAAACAGAAGCGTATCCCTTCAGCACCAGACAATCATAGCCAAAGCAAAAGTTTATTTGCAATGTTGAAAGAAAAAGTGGACTTGACTAGGATGTTTAATTTACTGCTTGCTCTAGGTCAGTGATGACGAACCTTTTGAGCTCGGCGTGTCAGCATTTTGAAAAACCCTAACTTAACTCTGGTGCCGTGTCACATACAGAAATTTTTTGATATTTGCAACCATAGTAAAACAAAGACTTATATTTTTGATATTTATTTTATATATTTAAATGCCATTTAACAAAGAAAAATCAACCAAAAAAATGAGTTCGCGTGTCACCTATGACATGCGTGTCATAGGTTCGCCATCACTGCTCTAGGTGATTTACATGATATAAAAGTCATTATATATTACACTAGGGTCCCAGTGCATGAATTCTTGCACCTTGAAAGGAACTGTGGGCCACGAGGCTGCGGTGGGCACAGGGGTGGGTCTTGGCCCATCCTCTGAGGCCCCTGTTCCGCTGTCTGCCGGCAACCCTGCTCCCGCAACTACTGATCCCACACACTGACAGCGCATAAATTGGGGCTGGCACCAGCAGTGGGTGCGAGTGGGACGGGCGCTATCAGCGGATTCGAGTGGCAGCGGCTGCCTCTATCGCCCCTCAGGAGCAGGGAGAGGTGGAGAAGCCCTAAGGGGCGATTGGGGCTGGTGCTGGTGTCCGCAGCAGGTGCAAGTGGGGCCGGTGCTGGCGGGCGGGACCGCAGCATGCGGGAGCAAAGAATTTTTAGTAACCACCAGAGGCTTGTCCCAATGACAGCAACTGGCGCCCCTGCTCACCTCCTCCACCATCCCACCACGGCCGACACCCACCATGTTCCACGTGCACCCCCTGGTGGTCATTGCACGTCATAGCGACCGGTTCAGTTCCGCAGTTTAGTCTATTTGCATATTCGCCTTTTATTATATGGGATAACTAGAGGCCCGATACACGAAATTTGTGCAAGGGGCTCAGCCCTCGCAGCCCCGGCTTCGTCCAGAAGGACATCTGGAAAGTCATTCAGCTGTCCGGTCTAATTATATTACGCTTTTATTATTATAGATGTGAAAGTGAGTGTTGAGTCTGCAAGTGCTGATGAGAAGGTAGCTGAAAAATTTTTGAAAATTCTAGGTAAAACTGGTTGTGGAGGAAAATTACTTGCTAGAGCAAATATTCACTTTGGATAAAACCTTCATACTCTGAAAACGGATGCCTGAAAGAACTTTCATCCATAAGGAAGCCAAATCATTGCCAGGCTTTAGGGATAAGTCTGTTTTAGGGGCAAGGTTGCAGGCTACAAACTCACACCCTTCGTGATCTGGCCCAGTGAGATCCCCAGCGTCCTGGGCCTGTCAGTAAGCACACACTTTAGTGTACTGCAGGAGCAATAGAAGTCGTGGATGACCCACCTCTTCTAAGATGCTGGCCTGCATTGCTAAGCCAGCAAAATGGAGAAGTACTATTTGGAAAATAACATACCTTTCAAGATTTTACTTTTTGTTGATAATACTCTAGGCATTCTCCTTTTAGTGATCTTCATCCCAATATCAAAGTCGTATTTCCTTCCAAACACTACTTTTTTGCTCCAAACAAAGAAGGAAGGAGTTACGGCACCTTTTAAGACCTAGTACCTGCAGAGGATCTTTTTCTAGGCTATTGCTACAATTGATGCAGTTCTGGAGGATTGCAATATCTATGACTGCAGCAAGAACCTTGCTTGGGGTGGGTGATGTTACCAAGGAGATATGAATGGCACCTGGAAGAAGAAACTCAATAAGTTTTTTATTACTTTAAAGGATTTTCCAAAGACGAGGTTGCAAAGATCAACAAGGCTGTGGTTGAGATGGCAAACAACTTTAACTTGGGTGTGGATGAGGATGACATTGAGGAGCTCTTAGAGGTGATTCCTGAGAAATTGATTAATGAGTTGTTGGAACAGGAATGCATAGCTGAAGAAGAGGCAAGAGAAGGAAACTGCAGGAAAAGAACTCCCATGAAAATGGCACAGTGAAGGGTTTAGCAGAAGCTTATGCAGACCTCAACAAATTCCTTTAAAAGTTTGAAAACATGGACCCCAACAGTGAAGGGCTTTCATTAATGGAGAGGAATATTCATGGTGCACTATCTGCGTACAAACAGATCTCTGGTGAAAAAAGAAATGAAAAAGCACATGGATATATTTCTGTAAAGAGTGACACCTCAAGAAGAGCCTCAGGCAGGTCCTTCAGGGGGTGTTCCAGAAGTATGTTGTCATAGGAGAGGACAGCTCCACGTGTGTTATTGCTCCTGAAGGCCTTCCAGTGAGACAAAATGTGGTGGTGGAAGACAGTAATATTGATGGTCCTGACTCTATGTTTTGTTTTTTTTAATCAACAAATTTAGCTTAGGCTAGATTTTATTTACTAAAGATTAAACTTAGACCACATGAACTTAAAATACATTTGAATGCCCAGTCCTTACAAGTGCTTGCCTTTAAATTAATTTTAACAATACCGGGGATCAAGCCCACAACCTGGGCACATGCCCTTGACCGGAATCGAACCCAGGATCTTTTAGTCTGCAGGCCAATGCTCTATCCACTGAACCAAATTGACTAGGGCTATATATACATTTGAAAAGCTGTTATAAAAAGTTGATCTCAGGTAATGGATATATGTATAATGTAAATTTAATGTAAGAGTAATAGATAAAAATGAAAATACATTGACAAATTCTTTTTAGTCTTACATAATACTGTAAGAAGGAAAGGATAGTATGGGTTGCAGGGAAAAGGTAATAAACCTGACTTTGCTTTTTTAACAAATGAACATTGTGTAATTGTATATTTTGAAAGATAGTTAATATTTTTTATTAAATAGTAATGTTCGTTATGTGGATTGTTTTTGATGCACAATTTCTTTAAAAATAGGTCAGTCTTATGAAATTCGGATGCTGGATAATCGGAAAATGGGAGATATGCCTGAGATCACTGGAAAATTGGTAAAGGTAAGGTCGATCTTTTTACATTCCTAGTAGATATTGCAGTGATTTTTAAAAAGCAGTTTTGATGCAAGAGTTTTTACAAAAAGTTTAACTTCATTATTTTAAAGCTCCTAACTTGTTGGTTGGTATAATGTGAAAGCCCTTTGGAAATGTACCATATGAAATTTACTTGCAGCTATGTGTGCAAAGACCTACCACCACTACAAAAATTTTAAGTTTCTCTTTAAAAGTAAAAAATAACATGAGGGGCCCTAACCGGTTTGGCTCAGTGGATAGAGCGTCAGCCTGCGGACTCAAGGGTCCCAGGTTCGATTCTGGTCAAGGACGTGTACCTTGGTTGCGGCCACATCCCCAGTAGGGAGTGTGCAGGAGGCAGCTGATCGATGTTTCTCTCTCATTGACATTTTTAAAGTACTCATTTCCCCCACTTATTCCATAGAGCATCATAAGAGTCGTATTCCATGATAGACGGCTACAGTATACAGAGCATCAGCAACTCGAAGGTTGGAAGTGGAATCGCCCAGGAGATAGACTTCTTGATTTAGGTACAGTGACCGTCAGAAGACCTTGGAGAGAGATATAAAAGCATTTTAGTTACACCCATGTTGGCACCACGTGTAATTGTGTGGAGTGTTTTGGTGTGAATGGATTCTCTGTGCCTTGAGTTGTTTTATAGTTTAAAATGTTGACCCTTGAACAACGAACGCTGGGAGATACGGGCTGACCCCCATGCAGTGAAAAATTTGCACATAGCTAGACTCCCCAAAAATGGAATTATTAATAACCTGCTGTTGATCGGAAGCTTTACAGATAATATAAATAGTCAATTAACACATATTTTGTATGTTATGTGTATTATATACTGAGATCTTAAGCAAGAGAAAAGAAAATCCTAAGGAAAAATACACTTACAGTATTTATTGAAAAACTCTACACATAAGTGGACCTGTGCAGTTCCCACCCATGTTGTGTGAGGACCAGCTGTAGAGTTTTGATGAAACTGAAAGACCCTGAGCCAGTAATATTATGAGTTGGAAACCATTCATTTAATTCTCCTTTGGGTACTATCCATCATATTCTGATTAAAATGAAAAAGAAACCATGGTGGGAGAAAGTCTGATACTCATTAGGTGGGTTTTGATGTTGAAATGATTGACCACAGAGAACATGGAAGAACAAAGTGCAGCATAGAGGTATAACATTTTCACTAAAACATAATTAGAGTAAGCTGTGAGCTTTTAAATTATTCTTAGTAGTGAGTTTATATGTAACTTCTTTTTAAAATACAGATATTCCAATGTCTGTGGGAATAATTGACACAAGGACAAATCCCAGCCAGTTAAATGCGGTTGAATTTCTGTGGGACCCTGCAAAACGCACATCTGCTTTCATTCAGGTTTGGATTTTTTTACTTTATTAGACATATACTAGCCTCGTCATTTTTAGAAGGTCATGGATGAGGTTGAATTTTTTTTTTTGAGGTTGAATTCTTGATGCATGATATAAATGTCTTTAAAAGCTTATTTGTAAACTATCTGGCAGTGTCTTTTTTTAAAATATTGGAGTTAATATACTAAATCCGTTATTATAGACTAACACATGTGAAGGCAAGTTGACGTGTGAAGCATTATTTAAATGTTACTTTTACCACTGGTAGTAACAGTAATCAAAACTTCCATTTTTCATAAGATGCATTTCTCTGGAACCAAAGCTGCTATTTTAAAAGATGTGGCCACCCTGACCGGTTTGGCTCAGTGGATAGAGCGTCGGCCTGCGGACTGAGGGGTCCCAGGTTCGATTCCGGTCAAGGGCATGTGCCTTGGTTGCGGGCACATCCCCAGTGGGGGGTGTGCGGGAGGCGGCTGATCGATGTTTCTCATCGATGTTTCTAGCTCTCTGTCCCTCTCCCTTCCTCTCTATAAAAAAATCAATAAAATATATTAAAAATAAATAAATAAAAGATGTGGCGGAAAAAAGTGTACTGTTTTAAGATTCTCTGTTAGCAACATTCTAATACTGAAATTTTCAAATCACAAAAAAGAATAATAAGAATGAATTCTCTGTGTACTCATCACCTTTCTTCAACAGTTATTAGTAGTTTCCCCCTTTTAAGTTATTGATGGAATACTTTAAAGCAACTCTCAGGCATTTCATGTCAACCATAAGGACTCAGTTTGTATCTTTAAGAGATGAAGTTTAAAATATATTCATAAAAAATATATACCATAAAACCCATGGTAATTCTAATACCCAGGATGTTCAGATTTGTAAGTGGAAAGATTAAAAATACTGAGTAGGGCCCTAGCTGGTTTGGCTCAGTGGATAGAGCGTCGGCCTGCGGATTGAAGGGTCCCAGGTTCGATTCTGGTCAAGGGCACATGTCTGGTTTGTGGGCTCAATCCCCAGTGGGGGGTGTGCAGGAGGCAGCCAATCAATGATTCTCTCGCATCATTGATGTTTCTATCTTTCTCTCCCTCTCCCTTTCTCTCTGAAGTCAATAAAAGTATATTTAAAAATATATATATATATACTGAGTAGATAATCTTACGTAGAAAAAACATACTGCTTAATTGCTGACCAGCCTATGTAGACTGTAGTTTTTGTGAACAGTAGAGAATCTTTGGTATTTTGAATTTTTGTGGTCTGGCAAATACTATCTCCCACCAATTAGTAGTCACTAGGAACATGGTTTGTATTCATTGAATAATTTCTCACACTGTTTGTCTAACAGGATAACTAGATGTACAGTGAGTGAAAGAGAGGTAGGAGCTGGCCTTATATCTCAGGTTGTGCACAGTATCCTGCAGAGATCAGTTTTCACTTTGAGAGTCACTAGAAGACAGGATGTGTATCAGTCAGAAATGACCAAGACCTGTTTACTGATCCTGTGAAGTATCCTAACGCTGTCTCCATGGTGGTATTAGGAGAGGATACAGAGTGATGGAAGATGAGTATTGCCCTTAGGACTTTTGGAAGGGTTGACAGAAGAGTTTATCAGTGGTTCTCAACCTTCCTAATGCCGCGACCCTTTAATACAGTTTCTCATGTTTTGGTGACCCCCAACCATAAAATTATTTTTGTTGCTACTTCATAACTGTAATTTTGCTACTGTTATGAATCGTAATGTAAATATCTGATATGCAAGATGTATTTAGGCGACCCCTTTGAAAGGGTTGTTCGACCCCCCACAGGTTGAGAACCGCTGGTTTAGATGGCTACAGGTAAGACAAGTGGTAGGCTTTCTGGGCTGTGGAAGTTCCCCAGGCAAAAGTATTCCAAGTTGATGGAGGTTGGAATAACAGTAAGATGATTGGTATTTTGCAGTAGAGGGCAACAGTGGAAGCTTTGAATGATGAGCTCAAGGTTGCTGTGGATTGAGCCACATGCAAGGCTTAGCTGGGCCTGAGAGCAGTATGCAGTCTGGAGTGGAGGTAGGGGAAGTAGGCAGGAAGCCTCTGTACTGCTGTACCCACAGTCAGAGCAAGTTCTTCCTTAGAGGAGAGGCATTGGAATCGGGGAAGAGCTCATTCCCAGAAAGTTCAGAAAGGCTCAGCTGGCTTTGTGAAAGGAAAACCATATATTAACAACAATCAGAGAAATTCATAACAGACACCTGGCTAAGATGTGGGAGTTTGTTTTAAAGGGCCTTACATTTATAGCGGTGACAGGGCGTCCAGAGGGACAAACCAGTGGATGGTACTTTGAATCCATCTCCAATTGTCCAGGTGCACTGCATCAGCACAGAATTTACTCCACGGAAGCATGGAGGCGAAAAGGGAGTGCCTTTCAGGATCCAGGTTGACACCTTTAAGCAGAATGAAAATGGAGAATATACAGATCATCTGCACTCAGCTAGCTGCCAAATCAAAGTTTTTAAGGTAAGAGATGGAAACCAGGCTTCCAGTAATGAAGGCCCAGTTTTGCTTATAAAGTTGTTTGTAACCTGGTGGACAAAGTAATCTACTTTGTTTTTCAGCCTAAAGGTGCAGACCGGAAGCAAAAAACTGACCGAGAGAAGATGGAGAAGAGAACTGCTCACGAAAAAGAAAAGTATCAGCCATCCTATGATACCACAATCCTCACAGAGGTAATGCAGAGCAGCATTTTGGTGTCTGGAGAGAAGCAGAGGTTTGAATATTAGCACTATTTATAAGGATGAGTTTTGCCAAGAAGGGGTTGGGGAAGGTTGGGGGGTAGTTTGACATATATTCTTTGTGAAATTTGTGGGGGAAATATATTATTTAAATTCTGGGATTTTAATGGATTAGTTTCCTGGGTGGGATCTTGAATGAAGATGCTGAAATCCCAATCAGGTCTTAGAAACAGACCTTAAAAACCTTGAAGTTGGCAAGAGATTAAACCGGGGCCTAGAAAGTTTGATTTTTGTCACTGCTGGGGTTTTGCATTTTCTTTAACTTTGAATCCTGCTAATCATGCAATTGTTTAATTGGACTGCAGAGACATAAAACAGGGTATTGGATCTTTCTTTGTATAATGAAAAGACATTGATCCCAATCTTTGGTGTTTGTCCAGATGAGGCTTGAGCCTATAATTGAAGATGCAGTTGAACATGAGCAGAAAAAGTCCAGCAAGCGGACTTTGCCAGCAGACTACGGTGATTCTCTGGCAAAGCGAGGCAGTGTAAGGGACTTCTGCTTCTCCTTTCATTGTGCAAGAAACCTTGTGCAGTGTTAGATATAGGACCTACTTCCACTGAAAAGTAAAGCCAAATTTGTTTTTGATGTCCTTGTCTTGATTTAATTTGCTTTTGTTTAGACTTCTTGCTTTCTGTTTGTTCCTCGCTGAGGAAAATTTCCTAAATCTAACACTTTAAAAACAAAGTTGACCTTATTGGGTGGTTTTGGAGGGAAAAACGACACTCAGAAATGTGTTCCCTCCCTGTCTCCTTCCCTTTCTCTCCCTCCCTCCTCGGCACACACACTTCCTTTAAGAGCACTGAAATTAATTAAAAATACATTCTTTAGTAAAATAGTTATCATTTTTGTTTAATTTTAAAGGGTTTTGCTTCCTCATGTGTATAACTGATAAGAAAATTTCATGGCTATTTAGAGAAATGATGGCAGCAAGCTTGACATTAACATATGCAATACTTTGTGTCACATTTCCCTGCATGTAGTGTAAGAATGTGTGTCTGTGCTTTTAAAAGCCTGTTTGGCAGCACTGGTAGGAAAATGGCCTTGACCGCATCAGTGTTCCTCTCTGCAGTGCACTGTGAACTTGCATTGCATCATGAACTTGTGCTTCAGGCCAGAGCAGTGCACCTTGCTATATTCAGATCCGGATCCCCCCAACATACAGCCAGGAGATTTTTGGCTGAATATGAGCTTTCTCTGCTTGAGTAGCAAATTCTTCCTTTATGACACAACTCTCCATCTAACAATCTAGATCAGATATATATCCACAGTAAATGTAAACACAGAGCATTAAACCTTTTCTTATATAGCTGTATTAATGGCTACACTATCATTACAGTGTTCATCCTATCAAGGTGCCAAAAATGGAATTTTTCACTCTTAAACGTGTCTAATTATTTGTAGACTACAAAAGTCACAAGCACAATCACTAGAACATCATTTCCAAGTTAAAAGCATTGACTGAAAATGTTTTAAATGCTTCTCTGTACAATAAATCTGAAAGGATGGTGAGCACACTTGTTGCATTTTAACTGGTTTTTTTAATGCCAGTCAAAGGTTGTATGGAACAACTATATACTCCATCCGATTTTGTTTTAGCCTCTTCTGATTTCCCAGCTGAAGAATCACAAGTGGTTCTTAAATTTTTTGGGGGGGGAGGGGGGGATCCCGATAACTCGAATCACTTTCCACTTTTTAAAAAAACTACTTCACTAATTAAAAGGAGTGGGTTCTCATAATTAATAAATTAAATCTATTCGAGCCCAGAGCTAATCTGAAGATGGTAGAATTATTGTTAAATTATTAATGACTCAAGTCTAAAGTATGCAAAACGTCAGCAGTTCATTGGCCTGGGATTTCACATCTTCCTTGTGTGTGTTGCTTGCTGCCCCGGGCTGCATTTGCTTTGGTATTCCTAAGGGTGGTTAGAGCTCTTCTTGGAAACCTGTTTTAAAAAGAAAGTCTGCAACATTTCATTGTTTCAGGTGCCTGCAGAAGAAGGCAACATTTTTCTTAGTGTTGGATAGCTGCAGTTGGCTGTCGGTAGAGTGATATCCAGACTCATCTGTTAAAGTTAAAAGGTGCTGTGGGAAATGGTCCCACGTGGAATGGAGGCACTGTGGTTGGTTCCTAAGAGCTACTGCACAACAAAACCCTTACTTGGTGTGTCTCTTTCTTTGCCTCTGAGCTGTATTTTATTGGCTCAAATCAGGGCTGCTGATTTCTGCAGTCTCAGGTGGGTCGTCATTTTCTAGTCCCCCTGAGGAGGGGCTCTGTTCCCAGTGCACCAGAGCCGTGACTATAAGCGTGCAGGCCAGGTAATGGATTACAGGTTGCCTTCAGGAACACAGGCCCTGCACCTTTGCTTACTTTTAAACATAGGGCAGAATGACCAGGTAGAAGAAACTGAAAATATTCCTTGGTAGCCTTTACCCTTCTGGGTTGAGACTGCTAGAGAAATCTATGAAACACAGGCAGGCAGGTGTTGGTGCTCGGTGGCCATTATAGAACTTGGAATCCGTTCTTTTCTAAAAGTAGAGGCTTCGCCATAAAACCAGCTTTCATTGAACACTAGTTTTCTACTGCTGGGTGAATCGAGTCTCATTTATTGGGCAAGTTTTAGATGTCAGCTATTAACAGCTCTACTTCTCTGCTGCTAAGAGTCTAGATATGTAAGTGAAAATAGAGATGTTTATGAAGTTTCAGGCAATTTGGTGTCGCTGTCACTGCGCTGCCATACTAACCTGAATCTTTTGATGGCTTCATTTCCTCGGTAGACAGCTGGCAAAAATTACAAGGCAGATTTTGGGAGGCTTGACATTAAAAGGTTTATATTATTTTGCTGTTATCCTTGCTAATGGTGGTATTTAGTATCTGAGGAGGACGGTGTAGCAAGAAGATCTTCTGGGTAGTGGAGATGGCTATGAGCATGGCATACCCATAGTTATTTGATCTGTCCGTTGGCTCACATGCTCTTAGGTTCCTCAAACTTTATAAGCTGAGGAGGTAACTACTTTGTAAGGTGGAAAGTAAAAGAATGGGCCTTGTTGTGTGAGGTTTTTTTTGTTTTTGTTTTTTGAAAGTTAATAGTAGTAGAAACAATAAGTGCATCATTTTCCCCATTTTTGAAGCGATACATGATGGGCAGTTGTAAATAATAAGATTCGGGGTTTCTGTTTTATTTTCCTTGTATCAATACTTCTGATGGCTGTCAGTTGCTTTAAGCTCTTGTAACCATTGGAGAGGCTTCCTTTCTGCCCCAGAGTGCTGCACAGCCTTTTAGCTCCTTCACACTAGTGGTCATGACTCTTCCATCGTCAAAGAATTTTTAAGAAAGAATATACTCCTTTCCACATTTTTAGGTTGACATCTGAAAGTTTTCATCATACATTTAAATCATTGCAAAAAGAGACCATTTTCTGACGTAATGAGTGTTTGCATTTAAAATTTAAGATAATTTACATTGCTTTTTGAAGTGTATTCTGTGGACTCCACTACCATAGCAATTTGACACCCACCATTGTTCATTTTAAAAGTTCATGAAACTTACATATATAAAGAGAGAGAGAGAGAGAGAAAGAAATTTAATTTTTAAAATTTCCTGTGACCATAGGCTCTTCAGTCAGTTGAAAAATTTAAACTTTATTATTGGTACCAACTTATCAAAACAACAAATCATAGAAATTATTTTTGTTAATCCTCATCCAAGGATATGTGTGTTTTTTTCATTGATTCTAGAGAGAAAGAGAGAGAGAGATCTTGATGTGAGAAACATTGATCAGTTGCCTTCCAAATGTGCCCCAACTAGGAATCTAATCCAAGACCCTTCGGTGCGTGGGATGACACTCGAACCACTGAGCCAAACCAGGCAGGGCCATACAGATTTTGATGAGAATTTTTTAAATATAAAAATAGAAGTGTGATTGGAAATACATCTCAGAACAGAACCTAATTCTAGATTTTTTTATAGATAAGAAAAAGTTTATTTAGATATTCATTTTCCTTTCGGCAGTGTCTTTCAGGTCTTAAAATTCCTTTTGCGTTATCTGCCAAATATCCCAGTGATGGATTTTATATGACCCTAATAGATTATTTCAATACTGTGTCAGCTGATGGTAGATCCTCCAGAATTGTTTTGAAAGCAAATAATTGGAAGCTACCAGAAACACAGAGAAGAATTTTTTTAAAAATTTGTGTTTGTTTTTGAGGGGCAAAAGAAGTAATATTTATTAACCCACAGACTTTTTTTTTTTATTGAACTTAGTGGGGTGACTAATAAAATTATATAGGTTTCAGGTGCATAATTCCACAACACATCATCTGTATACACTATATTGTGTTTTTACCACCCCAAGTCAAGTCTCCTTCTAAAACCATTTATCCCCTCGTATCCTCTAACTCCCCATTTTTAGAGTCATGTACTTTCTTAGTATCTACCCTAAATCTTTTTTTTTTTTTTTTTTGCTTTGATTTGGGAGAATCTTATACCCCATGGGTAGCCATCATGAGATCTGAAGCCTTTTTTGTGAAAAGTAGGAGAAGAGTGACTATGAAAGGGGACCTTTGAAACCAGGGGCATCCTCAGGCAGATTAGTTTTAGGAAGAGTATGTGGGGTGAGTGATGGGATTCCCTCCATAGCTCAGGCTTGAAGACTTTTACTTGACACCTTGCTGGCCTGTCAGCATGCTTTTCACGTTGATGTGTCTTTGTAGCTGTGCGCTATCTTTGGTCAGAATTGTGTCTAGAGCTGAAAAATACTTTAGTTCACTATGCCTTGTCCAGAAAATACAAGAAATAAACACATGTGGATAAGTAGGTATAGGCAGTACCATACACAGGTGTTTTTGGTACTGGAATGGTCTCAGCTTACTTGGGGATTATTAATCCTAGAGAAATGAAGGAAGCAGGTGGGTACTGGTGAGGGCAGAAGGAGCACTAGGTAGGACAGGCACTGTCTTGGTCACCGTGTGATGTCAGATGTTGCTTATGAATCCTTTCTTGCCTCTGCTATTCTTAAACCTTGATAAGCACCTTTTGGAGAATTGATAAAGAGGGAGGCAAAAAGTTCTTGACAGCAAATTGTATATAAATATACATTTAAAATAATGACGTTTTGCTGCTATCATCACTTCTGGGCTTCCCTAAAATTAATCAGTATCTAGACACATATAGCAGGTGAAATTTTTCCTTGCCACATAGAAGGAAATATATGTTCCCATGCCGTTGCTTGATGAGTGTCAGGTGTCTTGTGTTTTATAATCTTGTTTGGCCAGACTAGATTGTGAAATACAAAGTATTCTTCCACACCCTTTAAAAGCATATTATTAATTTATTTTTGTTTCTATCCTTAGTGTTCTCCGTGGCCTGACACCACCACAGCCTATGTGAATAACAGTCCCTCCACAGCGCCCACTTTCACCTCCCCACAGCAGAGCACCTGCAGCGTCCCAGACAGGTATCTGCTTTGTGTCTCGTGTGCCTAAAGCTGACTGATGCTCATGCTCCTTTGTTTCCCTTTCTCTCAATTTACAGCTACCTTTCCATTTGTTTATCTGACGCATGTGGTCATGGGAAATAGCCTCCTCCATTTCAGGGGGAAATCACTTTTCTTCACCTGCCCGCCTTTTCCTCCTGGCCCTTTGTGCCTCACACACTCACACACTATGGAAGTTGTAGAAGGGGGCGCATTTCAAGATATATTCTTTGTGAGATAAAAAGAACATTAATGAGGTTCATGGACAGAGAAAGAACAATGAGATTTTAAGGTGAAACTATGAATCAATAAGTTAAGATTGCAATCATTATAAAGTACATTTGTCTTTAATTTAATGCTCACCATACTACACAAGGGTTATTTCTCTGCTCCATTTCTTCTCCTCCTAATAGATACACTTTTTTTTTTAAATAACTCTTTACCCTTAAAGAACTTAAGTGGCTTTAGAAATGGGAATGGTGGGCTTTGTTCTACTCTTTGGCCTTGATGTGCAAATCTGAGTCTCGTGTGTAGCGGGTAGGAGCGGGAGCTGTGTATCAGGCTTCTCGAAGTGCTGCAGTGATGTCCCGAGGAGACGTTGCATTCTTAGGGGTTGGCTGAAGGAATAGTGACAGTCAGATCAGATCAGAACTTCCCTGTTGATAGCAGGTTTAGGCCCCACCTCCTAATACTATCTGTCACACTGTGGATAAGGGTTCAATATACGATTTTGAGGGGACACAAGCATGCTTTTCCCCTGAGATGGAAAAGCTGATGAGGCAGCCTTTTAAGTTATTGTGCTTTAAAAGTAGAAAAACAATCTTGGGCTCAGAGACCAGGAGACCAGCATGTTGCCATGTAGGGGGCTCTTCTTTCGGTCAAGTCCAGCCTGAATCATCTTAGAAAACAATTATGATATTAGAGATACGCTGTGAATTGATGTACTCACTAATTAAGTGGCTATTTCTGAGAGCCCACTGTGCACCCAGCACTGTTCCGGGTGCTGTGACATTTAAATGATAGACAAATTCCTCTCTGAGGAGTTTAAGTTCCAGTGGATAGAGGAGGATGCTGAACAATCAACATAATAAACCTAAGTAAAACTTCCGTACGAGTGCTAAGAAAGGAGTCAGAGCCAGACCAGGGAGGGGGCTGCATCCGCTGTGCAGTTGGTTCTCATTTTCCTTTTACCTTAGAAACAAAAGGATAGTGGTATGCTATTGTTTCTTTGTTCTCTTGAATTCTGCCCTCTAATAATGGATAAATGTATTAAAAGGGATATCATTTTGATTTAGGATTATCATACCACTCCTTATAGCTCATTGTTTTCTTGAAGTAGATTTTTTTTTTTGCAGCTACTTTCAATTGTTTATCTTTCTTGATTTCTCATATTTTCCCCCCAACTAAAATGAATGAGTGTCCTTCATTTTCTTGTTAACTTGGAGATAATTGGAGCCCTTTTATTTCATAGAACTAGAATCTTTTACTATCACAGATGGAGAAAGAAAAGGCAAAAATTAAAGTCTTCTGTCTTAATCTCATCATATTCACCCCTGACCAATTGTGCCAACATTCATGGGAGAGGGAGAGATAGAAAGATCAATGATGAGAGAGAATCATCGATCGGCTTCCTCCTGTCTGCCCCCCATTGGGGATCAAGCCCACAACCTGGGCATGTGCCCTTAACTGGAATTGAACCTGGGACCCTTCACAGGCCAAACAAGCAAGGGCTGTGCCAACATTTTTTTTTAATATATATTTTATTGATTTTTTAAAGAGAGGAAGGGAGAGGGATAGAGAGTTAGAAACATCGATGAGAGAGAAACTTCGATCAGCTGCCTCCTGCACACCCCCTACTAGGGATGTGCCCACAACCAAGGTACATGCCCTTGACAGGAATCGAAACTGGGCCCTTCAGTCCGCAGGCCGACACTCTATCCACTGAGCCAAACCGGTTAGGGCTGTGCCAACATTTTTATTGCAAATTTATATTGCTCTCACACAGTATTTTTTTTAAGTTTACTTAATTTTAATAGCCTTTAATGTCTTGATTTTATATAAATAATAACCATAACCATCTTTTCCTTCCCCTCTCCCTTTTCCCCAGCAATTCTTCTTCCCCAAATCATCAGGGAGATGGAGTTTTGCAAACCTCTAGTGAAGTAAGTGTCTTGTTCCTCGAACTATCACATGCTTTCGGGGGCCTGTATTTTTAAGGCTCTGACAGAGGCTTGAGTAAGTGGTTGGGTCACTGAGTGCTCCTTGGGTGTTCTTTTACCTCAGACTTGGAGGATTTCTGTTTTGTGTCAATGTTCTTTATAGCATGCTTAGAGGCCTGGGTTCAGTTTTTATAGGTTTGAATAGTTTCTTCTATTTATATTCATTTTCTTTGTTAATAGCAACTTCAGCCTTCAGCCACCACCCAGGAAACACAGCAGTGGCTGCTCAAAAACAGATTTTCTTCCTACACAAGACTGTTTTCCAATTTTTCAGGTATGTTTGTGTGTGTGTGTATACACATGTACATGTGTACACATGTGTATATTTTGTCTCTGTACTTTCCGTTAGCCTTATTTTTTTAAATGTTGAAATAATTATAAATTCATAAGATGTTGTTAAAACACATTCCGGGAAGTCCCGTGTTCCTATCACCCAGTTCCCCCCAGAGGTAATACTTTGCACACCTGTTGTACACTATCAAAATTATGAAACTGACATCAGTACAGTCTACTTCCTCACCAGTTCTGTGTGCCCTCATTTTGTGTACAGGCACATATAGTTCTATGCAGTTTTTTCATTTAATTTTTTATTTTGAAATAATTTTTTCTTTACAGTAAGTTGCAAAGATAGTACAGAGATGGTCCAGGGTACCATTCACTCACATAATTACAGTACAATATCCAGATCATGAAATTGACATTGGTGCACTGTGTATATATAGTTCTGTGTCATATATCACATGCATAGATTTGCATAACCACCACTGAAGATATGATGAGAGGTACGCCATCACAAGGATTTCCCTTATGCAGCCCTAAACCCCCACCCCCCATCCCTAATCCCTGGCAACCATTAATCTGTTCTCTGTCGCTATGATTTTGTCATTTTAAGAATGTTATATAAATGGAATCATACAGTATGTGACCTGTTGAGATTGGCTTTCTTTTCACTCAGTGTAATGTCTCTCCAGGTGGTTGTGTGTATCAGTAGTTTGCTCCTCTTTGTTGCTGTGTAGTATTGCATGGCATGAACTGCTCAGGGATGGTTTTTATAGTACTTAAGTGTAGTCTTGCATAGTAAGCGAAGAGAATATTTACTGGGGTTTTAACAGGGATTAAGCTGTGCAACAGGAGAAAACTGTTTAGAGGGACAATAATAGATACACCAGGTGGGAGATTTTTCCCAAACATATTTGGCCCTGGGACCCTTTTCCTACAAAACACTGACCAACATGTCCTGAGAAACACTGGGCCACAGGAAAGTGCCCACAGTGCTGTGGTTATAAACATGCAGCTTGAGCCTTTTAAGAGGACAGAACGTGTGCACATACCTGGCCGAGAGGAAAGCTTGATTTCACAAAGAACATGGCTTCCTTTTGTATGGGCCATTTCCTGCTATGCTTATGATGATTAGTCATTCACATGTAGCTTTTTGTCTCTCGAAAGTACTGGATGAAAGTCATGTGCTACCAGCCACATTTCTATGATTGAGCAGAAACTGGAAATTTAAAAATTTCAGTGTGTGAGAGGGAAACACATCTTAAACTCCCATAAAGAAGACAGGTGGCCCTAGCTGGTTTTGCTCAGTGGATAGAGCAGGGGTGGGCAAACTTTTTGACTCGAGGGCCACAATGGGTTCTTAAACTGGACCGGAGGGCCGGAACAAAAGCATGGATGGAGTGTTTGTGTGAACTAATATAAATTCAAAGTAAACATCATTACATAAAAGGGTACGGTCTTTTTTTTTTTTTTTTTAGTTTTATTCATTTCAAGCGGGCCGTAGTTTGCCCACGGCTGGGATAGAGCGTTGACCAGCAGACTGAAGGGTCCCAGGTTCAATTTCAGTCAAAGGCACATACCGGGTTTTGGCCTTGATCCCCAGTAGAGGGCATGCAGGAGGCAGCCAATCAATGATTCTCTCCCATCGTTGATTTTTCTTTCTCTCTCTCCCTTCCTCTCTGAAATCAATAAAAACATATTTTTAAAAAGAAGACGACAGATGAGTAAAACCAGCACAAAAACTCTAACCGTTGGAGCTGAGGGAAGGCCTAGGTTATGCCTGTTAGATTAGATAGGTACATATTTCCATCTAGAGAGTACTAAGCTCTTTCTACTCTGACCAATGACCACGTGGCTTGGCCTCTGGCCTTTGCCCTGTGAGCTTCCCAACAATAGAATGGTGAGGAGGAGATTGAGTTCCTGCTCTGAGCCTCCTGGACATTCACATTTTGTAGAGGGCTGTGCACATGAGTATCTGTCCAGTTCTGTGGAGGGTTAAGGATGTGCACACACTGTCTCTGGTCACAACTGGGAGCCTTGTTTTCAGAGGTGTGTAGTTGGTCCCAGTAGAGAGATGAGAGAGCCTGTCTTTGTTTAACTGACTCCATCAATGCTAGTGCCTCACAAGAAGTGCTTTATTTCTTTTACAAACTTGTAAAGTTATTAGGTTCTCACATTCAAGCCCTCAAAAAAAGAAAGATAACCCCATTATCTAGCCGCATAAGTAAGTGGATATTTGTCATGGAAGCCATGCCTTAATCCCAGAGGGCATCTCATTTCTCCCAGTAAACTACATCTTGAGTGTTAATAAAAGGGGCGAAAAAAAACCCCAAAGATTACGGGATACATTCACACATAAAAAGTAGAAGAAATGGCCGAAACCGGTTTGGCTCAGTGGATAGAGCGTCGGCCTGCGGACTGAAGGGTCCCAGGTTCAATTCCGGTCAAGGGCATGTACCTGGGTTGCGGGCACATCCCCAGTGGGAGATGTGCAGGAGGCAACTGATCGATGTTTCTCTCTCATCGATGTTTCTAACTCTCTATCCCTCACCCTTCCTCTCTGTAAAAAATCAATAAAATATATTTTTTTAAAAAAGTAGAAGAAATGATGGACTCATGTAACCATCTCCAGCTTCAGAAATGACTAGCTTTACTGATCAATCTTATTCTCAGCCTCTCCCTCTCCCCTTTTCTGTTGTAGTTTACAGCAAATTTAGATAATGTCGTTTACACTTACCAAGTCTTTGTGGGGAATCTTACGGTTTATTACTGTTTCTGTGCCATGCTTCCGTATTAACACTGGCTGCTGGTTACAGAATGCTTGACTTGACATTGCTTGGTGCAGAGAGAGGCCTGCCTACACCTAGGTGTCCTTCCAGTTCATGTTACTTTAGGCAAGTTCCCAAAACTCTGGACTTACGTTTTCTTTTTTTTTGTAAAATAAAAGATTGGTCTGGGTGATCTCAAGGTAAATTATCTGAGGTCAGAATCATGTTTATCCACGCAATAACCACACAGCCAGAATAATGCAAATGGTGAAATCCTGTGTTGGAACAGACACTCCTTTCGGGCCCTGCTCATTGTTCTGATTTATCGGCCTCTGGGCTTCTAAGCTCCTTCTTCATACAGGACATGGAAGAGCCAGCACTTTCTTTGGCTCTGAGAAACAGGTGTGTGTGTATGTGTGTTGTCTTATGTTGTGTATATTGTATACACAGGAGACCTGTGATGGTTGTGTGTGTGTGTCTGTGTGTGTGTCTATTCTTTATGTATACACAGGAGACCTGTGATGGTTGTGTGTGTGTGTCTGTGTGTGTCTATTCTTTATGTATACACAGGAGACCTGTGATGATTGTGTGTGTGTGTCTCTGTGTGTGTCTATTCTTATGTATATACAGGAGACCTGTGATGGTTTTGAAGGACATCTAACTGTGTGAAGACAGATGTCATAAAGCTGCCAATCTGCTAGTTCTTTTTCCATTTCTTTGAGAGGAATCTCTTTATGCTGTTCTCCAGGTGCCGACTTATTAAAACTGACAAAGGAAGATTTAGTACAAATTTGTGGTGCAGCCGATGGAATTCGGCTGTATAATTCACTGAAGTCAAGGTAAAATACTGTGTTTAAAAGGAATGTCTTATGTACCTTTCCTTGTGTGGGGACCGGGGCAGAATGGGTTTCCACACTGGGTTGGCGTGTGCCTGTGTGCGCTGTCGAGCCTGGGCAGCGTCGCGCTCACAAGAAGACTGTTTTGTGTACACCTTCAGGGCAGGCCCAGATTTGATGCAGGCACTGATGAGGGCAGATAGACTGTAAGACTGGTAGAAATGCACATGGGCAGTACTGATTTCTTGAAGACGACTGGGTTTGTTGCCAAGAAAACAAACTTCTCATTTAGGTGAGCTATACAGAATCTATGGTTTTCAAGGTCATATGACTACTACTAAACAGTTATTAAAAATGTAAACTTCTGATTGTGAATTAAAATGAAAGAACCGTAAACTGCTGGCTTTTTAGATTCATATACTATCATTGCTATTTCTAGACTTGTGTGAGAATTCCATTAAAACTGAATCTTACTGATTTTAAATTGCTGACTTAATCTTGGAACTTAAATTTACCAGCATCTGACAGACCATCTCAGTGGTTTAGAGTCTGGATCATCAGATTAGACCACCTGTGATAGTTGGTGTGAGGTGTGTGTTTTTATATTTTTATTAGTAATTTATTTTGTATAATGAAATAACATTGTAAAGTTCTCATAAGGAAATAGAACTTAGATTCCTGTAGTTGTCATTTGTACATGTGGTGAGGCAGCTTTCTCTCCTTGGCTCATGAGTGGCATCTTGTGATTGCAGGTCGGTTAGGCCCCGCTTAACCATCTATGTCTGTCAGGAGCAGCCGGGCAGCTCACTGCTGCAAGGGCAGCAGCAGGCTGCAGGCAGCGGAGCCGAGAATGGCAGTGGGACACCCTACGGTGGGTATGGAGGGTATCTCAGCTTCCTGTCCCTCTCTTTCTGACACTGAGGTATAACCGGGGCTTTGAAGGGCCCCTGTCCCATTAGTTCTGTCGACTTGCTGTTGTGGGAGTCCTGGCAGCAATGAGCTCCAGGGCCAAGGCTTCTGGAGAGTAAGGAACTATCGGCCTCAGTTATGTCCGCCACGTGGTAGAGCTCTTTTTATATGGCCCTTGACGCCAGAAATATCTAACAACTGAAAGACTAGCTTGCTGCCTTTTTAAAAAAATCCTCAGGTGCAATGAGTATGATGACGGCATCTTGACCAGAAAGGAGGAGGGTTGTTTTTTGTTTTGTTTTTTTAATCCATTTTACTGACGGGGGGAGAAAAGTTAGAATATCACCTGTGTAAAGATGCACCCAGGTGTCAGAACTGAGTGTGGACTTGTCTCAGACAAGCATCTGGCCAGCACTGTGAGCTGTGTCACTGAGTATACTCTACGTCATTGTCATCCGAGTGCTGGCAGGTGTCCTTGATTGTGTAATAGAGTGGATGGGGCAGAGATAAAAATCCTGGCCCCTCTCCCCTCCTCATAATATGGTCTGTGGAAGGGGGAAAAAAAGCATATGTGTTCTCATTTGTAAAGTGAGTATGTGGTCATCTTTCCCTTCTTCCCACATTCTGAAACAATAAGGGCAACACACTCAGAACTGTCCAGGGAGAAGTGTGCTATAGAATTCAGAGAGGCAGTTATTTGCCCTAGTATTACATAGAGCTCTGAAAACTGTGTGGTTTGAATTTTAGTAAAAATCCCAAGGAAAGCATTTACTGTTATGAGCTTTCCCATTTGGTGTCATTTTGACTTCAAAAGCTGTGAATTTTAAGACTAAAGATACAAAGTCTTGGTCTTAAAGGCTAAAAGTTCTATAGGAGCTCTGCATGGGTCATCAAGCTCTTCTCCACCATTTATATATGGTCAGGATTGTAATATTCTGGAAGGTATATCCTCAGACATGAGTGTTTGTGGAGGTGTATATGGAAATACAGGCAAACGTAACCCTAGATCAGGATCAGCAAACTTTTTGTTAAAGGCCAGGTAGGTAGTAGATCTTTCAACCTCACAGACTATAGGGCCTTTTTCCCATTCAGCTTTGCATCGTAGCATCAAACCCACAGTATGTAGAAGGCAGGTGTAACTATGTTCTGATAACATTTCATTTTTGAAAGAACAAATGGAGGGCAGGTTTGGCCCACATAGGCTGTAATTTGGTGACCCTGCTCTACATCATCTCTATAGTCTTCCCCTAATTATAGTTCCAAATTCTAACCTTTTCATAGTGTATGATTGGCAGAGGTTCCCCTTGTTTGGGAAAGCAAAGCTCTGGCACTGATATTCCTGATCAGTGTTTGGCTTGAATCACTAGTAATTGAGCTGGACCTACAAGAGTCAGACCCACTGCAGGTGTGCTTGGTGCTGTGCCAGCAGAGCTGCTGCTAGGTTGCATGTTCCAGAAAGAAACACAGGATACTAGGTGGACTGCACCTGGGACCTTCTGTAGAGTAGCAGAAGGCTTCATGGTCCACACCCTTAGCTTTTCGAGTACTGTCTTTTATACTGTGTTTCATGGGGGGGGGGGGGCTTTTTTTCCTTGGGATAAATGGATAAACTCCCATTCATAGGCTTACTGAATCAAAAACTAGGACCTTCTTAGGTTTTTGTTTGTTTTTAAACTATATTGCTAGAAACAGGTTTTTTGAAAAGAGCTTCCTTCAGGTATAACTTATATATCACAGAAGCCTCCCATTGCAATGACATGATTCAGTGATATTTCAGTAAATGTGCAGTTTTGCAGCCATCACCACAATCTGTTCAGTTTCATTACTCCAGAAAGATCCCCGGGCGCATTTGCAGTCAACTCCTGTTTGTTTTAAGAAAAATTAAAACCATAGATCCTTTTGTACAAAAATTATTTTAATGTTTATATGTAATCTTATAGATCCAGGTGGAAAACAGATAAAATATTACTGCTAAAATGCTGTTATGTGTTTTTTTTAATTTCAGTTTATCATGCAATCTACTTGGAAGAAATGGTTGCCTCAGAAGTTGCTCGAAAACTTGCGTTGGTGTTTAATATTCCTTTCCACCAGATTAACCAGGTTTACAGACAGGGTCCCACTGGTATTCACATTCTTGTTAGTGATCAGGTAACTCGAACTGACATGCCCATTTGCTTTTCCCATTCACACTATTATATCGCTGAAGAACTATAGAAAAATTCTGTGACCTCTGTTACAAGCACTCATGAAAATCCTTTTCAAAGAGTTGGGATCAAAATTTGTAAGAATATATAACCAAGAGTTTCAGGTATGCTGGTGATCTAAGGAATACACATCAAGGATTAGCTGGCTCTCCTCCCTCCCCTTGTAATTTAGACACTCCCTCAGGGGGGCTGCAGGTTAGTGGGGCTTTCTCCCCTTTTATGGAGGGGCACTTGGATGGGTTTTCCTTTTGTCCCCTATTTGATGACTAATTTACAAAGCAGTAAGTTAGAAGTATAGTTTTTCCTCCAGTGTTCAGTGACAAGCAAGTAATAACAGAAGAGCACTTACCCAGTGACTTTTTGTCAGTTATTCCCAGACCCAGCAGGGATGCTATGCTCCCCAAGGGGTCAGATGGCCGACTGACTAGGTCCTCAGGGACCATCCTGAGCAGGCACTGCTGCCAGGGCAGTGGGTATAAATGTTACCACTCGCCTGCATTCACCAGCTACCATTCTGGCCGTCGAGTCCTGTGCTTGTCAGCAATATATAGATTATACTATTTTCCTCTAACTGCGAATTTTAACCAGTTACAAAGGGACAATTGGATCTTAACTACATCTGCTTTCTCCTTCTAGATGGTTCAGAACTTTCAAGATGAGAGTTGTTTTTTATTCTCCACAGTAAAAGGTACTTTGAATGTGTGCATGTTGTCTTGAAATGCTGGAGGCATGAAAAATAGTGTGTGCTTGTAATCACTCATCTTGTGTATTTTTGAAATTCTGGCTTTACTAATTTTAAGAAGAGTTTGAAAAATGAATTCAGAGAATATTTCTAAGGGTTGTAATAGAAATTAACTAGCCAACAAGGGAGAGAAATCAATCCTGATGGCGGGAGGGGGAGGATTCTCAATTCGTTCAGCCAGCCTTTTACTGAGCACCTTTGTCAGACACCGTGCTGTGGTGCTAGACAAGTCTTGAACTTACTATAGTGGGGAAAGCAAATCAGAATTGGCCAACAGATGCACATAATTACAAATATTTTAAGTGCCACGGAGGAATGGGAAAGTGTGGGGTATTTATGGAAGAGGGGAATCTGGGTAGGGGGATATGAAGCTGTTGGGCAAGGCCTCTCTGAGGTGGTATCATTAATGCTGATAATTGAAGAGAGAAGGGACTGACTATATGAGGAGTATCCCAAAGTAGCGTGCGAAGGAAAGACCTTGGCTTCTTAGGAGGTTTAAAAGGCCATGTTGCTACCATGCAGTGTGTGAGGGGTGAGCAGAGCAAGATGGAGACAAAGTGAGAGGCAGAGTCTGGTATGCAAGACCTGGTGAGGCAGTTTAGATTTGATTTGGATGCACTGGGAAGTCAATGAAGTTGTTTAAACAAAGGAGTGATACAGTTAGATTTTTCTTTCACTCTTGCAACTCTGTGGAGACAGATGGGAAGATAGAAAGACGAGGCAGGAGATGTCATCTAGGTGAGAGGTGATGGTATCTTACACATTTGTAGACAGGGTTCTGCTGGACTCCAGTTGAGTGGTTGTGACTCTTGGAAGAGTGACTGGGCAGATAGTGGTCCCAGTAGAGGTAGGTTTGGTTAGGGAAAAACAGTCCAAAGTTCCATTGTAGATATGTAGCAATGGCAAGTTGGCATTTAATTACATCTCTCTCAGGCCTGGGTTTGAGATGTAAGTTTGGAAGCCTTCAGCATGTCAGTGGTGATTCAAAGCTGTAGGAATCATTGAGGTCCTTTAAGGAGTGAAGTTGAAAGATAGCTGAGACCTGGCACAAGTGAGTCCCATTAAAAAAGGTTAGGAAAAGGGAAAGGGTTTTTACTTTGGATTTTGTTTGTTCTTCTAGTTCCTTTAAATGTAAAGTTAGATTTGGGATTTTTCTTGAGGTAGACCTGTATAACTAGGAACTTAGTCTGCTTTTGCTGCATCCCATAAATTAAAAAAAAAGTTGGGTTTTCATTGTGGGGGTGTGGGGGGTTCAAGATAGATTTTTATCTGTTTGATTTTCTCTTTGATCCATTGGTTGTATATTAGAATGTTCTTTAGGCTTCACGTTTGTGGGGGTTTTTTCTTCAGTTTTCTTCCTATAGTTGATTTCTAGTTGTATGACTTCAGTCTTCTTGAATTTATTGAGGTTTGTTTTGTGCCCTAACATGATCTATACTGGAGAATGTTGGATGTGCACTTGGAAAAAATCTGTATTCTGCAGTTTTTGGGTGAAATGGTCTATAAATGTCTAGTAAGCCGATCTTATCTAATGTGACATCCAAGACCATTATTTTCTTAATTTTCTGACTGGATGCTCTATCCATTGATGTGAGTGGGATATTAAAATCCCTGCTATTATTGTATGACCGTGGAGGTCTCCCTTTATTCCCGTTAGTAATTGCCTTATACATTTACGTGTGCCTTCCTTTGTTGGGTATTAGGTGTTTACTATTGTTTTATCCTCTTCTTGAGTTGACTCATGTAAAATTATGTTGTTCCACATACGTATACATTCATCGGTTGCTTCTTGTATGTGCCCTGACCAGGGACTCAAACCCACAACCTTGGCCTATTGGGACTGTGCTCTAACCTACTGAGCTACCCAGCCAGGGCCTCCATTTTTTGTTTTAAAGTCTATTTTGTCAGGTGTAAAGTATTGCTTACTCCAGCTTTCTTTTCATTTCTGTTTGTGTGGAATATTTTTCCATCCCTTCACTTTCAGTCGTCTTTCAGTTGAAAGATGGTCTCTTGGAAGTAGCATATAGACAGGTGGGTTATGATGTTTAATCCATTCAGCCATCCTATGTCTTTTTATTGGTGCATGTATCTATTTACATTTAAAGTAATTATTGATGTATGTACTTATTGCCATTTTAAAAATTGTCTTCATAGTATTCTGTAAGAAGGTATTTTTAAAAGTCTGACAGGTTCAAATCTAAATCTAGTCTTAGCACAGAAGCTGCACCTCAGAGAACAACATATATGTGTCACCCTTTCTTGAAAGTCACTCTTGGAAGGGATTCGCCCAAAACAGTGCTAAAATTACGATTTCACTTTTTGCCTGGCATGTTTCATGTGCCATCAAGTTACTTGCAATGTTGAGTTTAACTGTAAACTGATTCACAAACATCTTCAGCTTGATACCCTTCTCAATTTTTTGTTCTCAGAGCAATACAGTTTTTACTCTACAAAACTCACATTATCTAAAGAAGGAAATGCACATTGAATTAATTGTGTGTTTGTGTTCTGTGAAAGTGGTAGCCATTCCCAATGTCGGGCATCACGGGATATCCCCTCCAATCTCAGTGCACTGTTCTTCAGAATTTGTGCTCATGAAAAAATTCATTTGTTCCTTGATGGATGCCTGTACTGTGTCTCCACATTTTCTGAGAACATGAGGGCATCGGGCAAAAGTAGTGATGTGTTTTTTAAATGTTTCAGATCTACCTCTGTGGAGTTCAAAAATTATTTCTAGAAAAGGTGGCTATAAGCCCTCTGTTTACGATTTGTTGTTTTGTATAGAGCTGACTGTCCTGCCTCCAGCTCTTGCCGACAGCACTTTGCTGTGTGTCTTGATACCCCCTCCTCCAGCCCCTCACTGGCAAGTAGTATAGGTGCAGGGTGCTGTTGGGAGCATCGGCCAGACACCAAAAAGCAAATGTCTAAAAGGAAATGTGTATATGAAGCTGCCTTAGGGAAGAGGAGCCGGAGCAAGTTAATCAGCTTTTTTTCTGTAAAATTACTTAAAGATAACAGATGAACTGGGGAGGAGGTTGTCAATTTCTGGGAGTTTTAATTTAATGGTCCCAATTTTCCTAAATCTGGCTAAAAAAAAGGCTGTAATTTGTAATTTCTCTTTCCTTTTTCTGCAGTTGAAAATAGTGGTGGTATCCACATAATTTTGAAGTGATTTCTTATATAGTCTGAACTATATTCATTACCAAATAAAGTCACGCTTAAAAGTGTGTGAAGACTGAATCCAAGAAGTCTTGGGATTGGATTTTACTGTATGAATGTTTCATATTGAAAACACAAGATGACCTTTCTAATGAGCTGTATGAGAGGCGACTCTCCTCACTGCCACTGCCATAGCCAAGCATCCTCGTGAGAGTGAGCACGTCGGGACAGCACGCTGCTCTGGGGCCGCGGGGCAGGCTGGGCTGCCTGCCTCTCTAGCAGAGGCCAGTAGAGAAGAGTTCCTCAAAGCAGCCCTGGCTGTCTTTTTACACTGTATGTGGTTTGAAGATGAATGTAAAAACCTACTGTGGGCATTTACCTTTCTGTGCCAGTTTGGCCTGAACCTCCTGCTGACCTGGACTGGGGACAGTGCTGTTGTGGAGCCAGCAGGGAGCCTGTCTGCAGAGATGCGATGTGCTGATACAGTGACTGATGGTCAGGTAAGAGGCTTGGCACTTCTCGGAAGAAGCGTGTCTAAGGGTGTGCGTCTCACGTGATCATGCCAGATTGGGACGAGCCAAGCAGGAAGACGGGCTGGAAGCGAGCTGCATTATCAAGAGTACCTTGGTGAGAGGATCAGTGTAAATCCTAATAGGTACAAAGACTTTGTGTTTTTGCTTTGTCACAGATTTGACAAACTTTTGCTTCTGCTTCCATTTTTAGCATTTTATTTCTGGTTTTCATTTTCAAGCCCCATTGCCTTTTAAAAATTAAGTGGTTTTCTTTCTTTTTCCTCCATCCCTCTGTCTTCGACTGCCCTTCCCAACTCATCCCCACACCATCCTTTTAAACATTTTTAAAGCCCGACCCCAGACATTGGAAATAGGTAAGCAGGAGAAAAAGTATAGGTTCTGACATGGTGTCAAGGAGACTTTATCAACAAGTTGAAATTATTCTTGGAACACTAGACATCATAAACCAAACACTAAATTGTATCATGTAAACTCCTTACACTTCTCAAATATTGAGCTTTGGTACAATCATGAGTAAACATTCTGGTGTTTATTTAGAGGCCTTTTTATACACCACATATAGTTTTTCTATAAGAAATTTGTCTCTTCACAAAACCAACTTCTTGTCAGCCAGTGTACTTATCAAAGAGAACCCACTGTTTTTGCAATTTTTCCTACTCTTTAAAGCCTTTCCCAAAATTCCTCAGCAAGAATTGTTGAGGCCTGTGCTGTAGCACACCCAACTTATTTTTAAAATTCAATTCCATTTTAATTATAGCATCTCTGTCCATTTACCCAGGTGTCTTGAATGTATTATTTGCTCCTTTTCTTTGGGCAGAAATAGGAATGAGTCATTTTGAATTTAAAATCTTTCCCAGAAGATGAACTACTTAAGGGAGTGGGGGGTGTCTGATACAAAGAAGCACTGTGTCTGTTTCCATCTTTGGTTTTAAAATATCTGTAACTGTTAGAGGCCATAAAGCAGGAGAGCCTTCCTTTCTGTCATGTTCCCTTTGCTTTCGTATGAGCACATGTTTTCTGTACCAATCACTTGGGAAAGAAGAGAGTTTCTATTAATTGTTTTAGTTTTGCTTGTCGATTTAGCATTCCTTTTTGAGTCTCAAGATTTATGGAACAATAAATGTCATTCAATGCTGTGTGCTATTCTGAATTCCTCATAGGGTTTTAGAAGTGGGGTAAAAAAGTTAAAAGCTCATCAAACTTGAAATCACACACCAAGTGGTATTGAGCATTAGTCTGTCCCAGTGAACAAGTTAAATTATGGCACCAGCAGATTTGCTACTTTGTTTTTTTAATAGTAGGATGTATACATTTCCGTATAATAAATGTTTTCTGATTGTTTTGCAAGTGTGTGTGTCATTTAAAATCCCAGTTCCTGCCAGTGTCACAGAAGAGAGAGGCTCCACATGTATGTTCTGAGGACACACCAGTCCAAATGTTATAAGAGTTGAGACCCAGGTGGTTTTCTCAAAGCTGCTGCAACTGAGAGGTAATGTTATTCTAGTAACTTACTTTTTTTATTAGAGGTTCTCCTGTTTTATAAATGGGTCATTGAGTAAAGTAGCTGTGATAGATAATGTATAGAAGGCCCAGTTACATAAAATAGAAACTGTAATTCATAATCACTGAAGCAGGTCTGTGGTATATGTTTTGTTTTATTTAAATAGCATCAGTCATTTCTCCCCTACACGGTGTTGCAAATGTATATTTAAATAACTACTGTGGTATACACACAATTTTTAGACCTGTGAATACCAGAGTTTATCATAAAGCAATAAAATCAAGTCTTGAATGCTTATTCTGGTAATCCCGTTAAATCGATTTATGGGGTTCTGTGTATATGCCCTCTCTTCCTAGAAGCAGCCGAGGCATTGTGTCCTGAATACCTCTAAAACTGCCCACCTAGAAGTACTGCTAGTAATGGGAAAAGAACACCTTGTTTGCCGTTTCACTTATGCTTCTCACAAGCTCTGGACTCCAGTCCAGGAGTGGTTGCTAGGAAGGGTGGTGGTGGGTTCCTAATTTTAATTAATAAAGATCACGAATGTGGACAGCACGGGCAGAAACTAGATCATCTTATCATATGCTTAGATAACATTAGGAAGGTCTTGAATTTGGAAAGTGGTTTTGCTCAGATTTACCTGCCATAGGTGATAGCAATAAAACCCTCTGACTTAAGCATTGCAATGGTTTATTCATTTTTATATTTTGAGTCTAAAAGGTGCCAACACTTGACTGATCTGAGTTTTACATGTATAAAACTTTTGACTAGTTCTGGTGTAACTTGATTTCTAAGATTTTAAAATAAACTTGGAAAAAATTACACCCATTCTACATGCATCCATTCATTATTTAAGCCTTATTCAATTCTATTGCTTTAAGGTCCCCCAAGTTTTGTGAGATATGACATTAGCTTTTCTCCTACAATAAAACTGTGTGCTATAGCGTACACCAGAGCTTCTAATTTCCAATCAGGCAACTTGAACTCAGGGTTGACTGTTTGGTTTGGTCCCCCAAGTTGACAGAAATAGGTGAAGACCCTGCTTCACCCAGTGTAGAGTCCTCATTTCTTTGGTGTCTCATAGAAACTTCTTAACATGCCTTCCACATACAAAACTATTAGGTATTACGAATTTGCAGTACAGTCACTTTGATAAAGGTGCGTCAAAGTGGAAAAGCCCTGCTAATCAAAATGGAATTGTTGTGAATTAAAGTAGGCCACTATCTTAAGTATCAGGTAGAAAATCAACAGCTTGATTTTTCTGCTCCATTTGTGCTAACACTGATGGTCTGAGGAATGCTGACAAAGCTGAGGACAGAACTCTTGTCCCTAAGAAGGTAAACCCACCTTGTTAAGAAACCAGGTTTCTTGCAGGATCCTGGCTGCACTGAAACCACTCTTGCTGTGTGTTTACTGACAAGGCTTTGATTTGATTGTATCGCAGCAGACTAAAGTCAAAACTATCGCCAAAGTTACTGCAATCCCTACAGAAGTCTTTTACCTGTAAATACCTTTCCCAATGGAGACTCAACAGATTTCGGTGACCGTGGAGAAGGTAGGGAAGACTTGGGTCTTCTCTGGAGTTGGGCCCCGCAGCTGCTGTCAGAGAATGACACAACACCTGCACAGCCGATGGCCACTTCCTCCCACTGCTGTCGGTGGTGTGACGGGTGCAAAGTAGGCATGGACTTTGACATGAGGGAGCTGAGCCTGGAAACAGAAGAAAAAGGTGGAATAATCTTTACACTGATATTTTTGGAATTATAGGCATAGTCCTAGAAAAGCCTGTAGTTCTCCACGGGGAATTGGCTTCACTTTACCATTAGGCAAATAGTGCAAAAAGAATTTCAGGGGTAGGCTAGAGCTACTCCTGTTTACATAATACATCCCCTAAAACAGCACCTTCCAAAGATAAAGGAAAATGAATAATATTTCTGCTCCTGGGTAGTCACTGGCCCCCAGTGGAGTTCCCACCAGCTGTAGCACCCCAGGCAGCTTTTGGCCTGTAAATGCAAAGTTAAAAACTTTGTTTTCTTGAACGTGCTATGTGTCAAAAGCATGCCACATTCTATTAGTGCTCTCGCCTGGAAATTAGCCAAGACCACATGTACCTCCTACTGGTAATGACCTCTGGCCCCTTCCCTTGTAAGGGGGCTGATCACCCGACTATGTGGAACCCATTCTGGAAGTTGTATCTCCCAGGCTGGGGGTCTGATTAAGGAATTTTGAAGAAGTCTCGGGAGACATTTAGATTTCTGTGTGACAGACGTGCATGTTGATTCTTGGTGTATGTGTTGCTTGCTTAGAAATCGTGCCAGGTGTACGGCTCCTGCCCCACACTTACCCGCATCCGCTTGATGCCCGCGCGGGTAACCTGCTGGCAGTCATACAGCTCCAGGCGCTCCAGGCCACGGCAGTGCTCCAGGTGCTCCAGGGCCACGTCGGTGATGAGGAGGCAGTTGTCCAATTCCAGTACTTGCAGCCTCTCGTGGCCACAGGTGCTATTGCTCAGGTGCAGGATTCCATCATCTGTGATGAGCTCACAGTGGGACAGGCTCTGCAGCAGGGAGAGGACAACAGTTTGCAAGACCCTCATTCCAATTCTTATAGCCTGGGAAAAGCCAGGGGAGCAACCATTTATCTACAGGGTCAAACACAAAGCCGGGGGGGGCGGGGGGCCTTTGGCCGGGGGATTGCTGCAGCTGGGGAGTGGTTTCTCTCACCTTCCTGAATATAAAAGCAAGTCAGAATTGCAGGGGATGGTCTGGTTCAATCCTGAGCTCACCTCCCAGGTACAATCTACAGCTACACATGGAACAACTTCCTCTGAAAAAAGCCTAAAAGCTGGCTTAGCACCTCCTACACATTGGACCAGTGAGGGAAGGCCCGTGACAAAGCCGTTAGGAGGGGCTGGGACACAATCTCACCAGAAACGCCACTCGCAGTGCGGGACCCAGAGTCAGAGGGTGCACCAAAACCCGGAGCTTCTCCCTGGGGAGGGAAGGGTTAAAAACCCACATTGCCCCCGCCCCCACTCCCTGACTTTTAAGACTTACACTTGAGTGACAGGCCCCCAAGAGAACTAGCTTTGAAAACAACAGGCTCAAAGCCACAAGATTGCAGCAGATCTTACAGGACTTGCCTGCCCAGGGCCCAGCGTGGGACCCTGGGCAAATGAGAGGAGCAGCACCAGCCTGAGGGGTAGGCATCTGATTAGACACCCATTTGGGGGAACCTTGGGGCACTCTCTGGTGATGGAGACTAGGTGCCATCTTTGCACTCCTGCCTTTACCTGGAAGATGCCATTTTTTAAAACGGGCTTTTTTCCTTTCCTGGTGGGCACCACTGTCTCTACATGTCTGGTGCCCCAGTTATTGCGGCTGCCGCCAGGGGATACCTACATTTCTTGGCTCTGGTGGCCCATGGGCTTACACGGGTGGCCCCCACAGAACTGTAACCAACAGAGAACGTTCTTAAACAGCTGCCACCTCAAGGGCACAACCAGAACCAACAGACCCAGGAGCTCAGTCTTGTGAAAGAGGCCCATTAGCTTATAGCTGCAGCCTGATGGGCAGGCTTCTAATTGAATACACAATAGACCTACAAATGCGTTCAGTGAAGTTTTAGGACACAAAAGCAATATACAAAAATCTGTTGTGTTTCTATACACTAATTATCAGAAAAAGAAATTAAGAAAATCCCACTTACATCTGCATGAAAAAAAATAAATAAAACACCTAGAAATAAATTTAACCAGAATGTAAAAGGCCTATACACTGAAAACTATTAGGCATGGATGAAAGAAATTGACACAAATTCCATGCTGGAAAATTAATATTGAAATGTTCATACTACCCAAAGCAATCTACAGATTCAATGCAATCCTATGGCATTTTTCACAAACAGAACATCAATCCTAAAATGCACAGAACCACAAAAGACCCTAATAAGTCAAAGCAATCTTAAGAAGCACAAAGCTGGAGGCATGATCCAATGTAGTTAGATTTCAGTACAGTATTAGCATAAAACACACACCTGATAGAATGACTTATAAAAACAAGTGATTAGGATGTGGGAAAAGGGAACCCTTTTTGCATTGGTGGGAATGTAAATTGGTGCAATTACTAGTGAAAACAGTAGAAGGTTCATTAAAAAATTTTTTAACCCTTTGCGGTCCACTTTTATTTTTGGAATTCAAACAGTCTGGTCCAAATTAATTGACGGGATTGAATGTTGAACCGGTTTGCAGTGTCTCAGCCTCGACGCTGGACCTGCTCCTAGCACCTGGTCTGTCGAGTCAGCCTCCACTTTGGACCGAAAAGGGTTAAATACAACTATTAGAGATGATCCAGCATTTCACTTTTATGGTTTTCAAAGAAAAAGAAAACGATTCAAAAAGATATACGCAGCCCCATGTTCGCTGCAGCATTATTTACAACAGGCAAGCAGTGGAAACAACCCAAGTGTCCACCATCAGGTACGTGGGTAAAGAAAATGTGAGACAGATGCACATACACAGTGGCATATTCAGCCATAAAAAAAAAGGAAATCTTGCCATTTCTGACAACATGGATGGACCCTAGAGCATTATGCTAAGTGAAATGTCAGAGATGAATACCTTATTATTTCACTTATATGGAATCTGACCCAATTGGGGAGAAAAGGCATCAGACTACAAAACTATCTGTAATATGTAGGTGGGAAACAGAATGGTACAGGTAGATTCATGTACATTCATGACTGATGTCTGAAATCTGACCCCAAACTCCAAAGTCCCAGAGTGAAAGTGAAAATAAGGAAACTGGTGGGGAGAGTAACTTGAGGCCAAATGGAGCTTTGGTGATGTTAAAAAGTCTAGCCTCTGAGGACAGAGCCAGCTTCAGGACGACAGAGAAAGCTGGCGTAAGGAAATCTGTTGTGTATTTCAGGACTGGGAAGACCTGGGGCCCCCGAGCAGTTGTGTAACTCTGGGCAGGTCCCTTAACGGCTCTGAGCTTCCTTTTTTCCCCCTCAGATAAAATCGTGTCCACAGTGTCTGAGTCACTCCGGGCTGCGGATGGGACTGAGTGTAGGTAGCACAGTGTCCAGGGCCTTGCTCCATGAGCAGGGTTCCATCCCACTCCCCGCTCTGGTCAAACAGCTGGATGTGAGGGGTGCATGGGGTGCCACTGCTACTCCACTGCTCATTTTGGACCTTTTTAATATGTTCTAGTTCCTTTTCCATATACATGCTTATACGGAGAAGGGATTATATATCTATGTGCAGATATGAAGTGCAAATATAACTCAAGGTTGGCCTCAACCTGAGGTTATATCACGTTAACATGCTAATTCTCACTCTGACTGACATGATGAACAGGAACTTAAATGGTAAGGGCATGGGCCCCTAAATTAGATTCATATCCTAAAAGGAAAGCAGTAACATTTAGATACCCTGTCTCCCACATTAGCCCAACCATAGACCTTTGAAACCAAGAATGATGGTACCTTTACGGGAGGGAAACCCAGATTCCTGCTGTGGTGAGGTGAACAGTGTCACACCCACTCAGACTCACCAGGGCTTGCAGGTTAGGACAGTGAATGGAGAGCTGGATGAGCGTGCTGTCGGTTATCTGGAGAGAGACACGCTGGGTTAGTGTGGCTTCTACACCACAACTTAACACCTGACTCTGGCTTCTGAACGTGAGCATCAAGGAGCAAAAGAGAATAAAAGACTCATCTCAAGCACTCGGGCAGGGGCCCCTCTATCATCAGCAACCCCGTCTGCCCACTGCTGGAGACTCAGAGCTTTCTTCAGTCTCTTGGAGCCTAAGGGGGTGGGGGGGGCGGGTTGGACAAAGGGGGAGTGGGCAAGGAAGGTCCCCCAGGATTCTATGTAGTCACCTCATCCTGGACATGCAAGCTTATTTTTCTCTTTAGTTCTGTGAAACTAAGAATTTTTTTTCTTTCTTAATGTTTGGCAAAAGATGGAGCAACTTTGAACTTCTGGGCTGTGGCTGGCTGGTGCCTGAGGGCAGTCCAAAGTTTACACTTTCCACTGCCAGTGCCTTCATGAGTTCCCCAGCCCTGATCCTACACTGGACAAGGAGGGTCTGAACAACAGCCCATCAGCGTGCCTGGCTACGCCTGGCTGTTGGTCAGGGACTGAGGGGCAGCCCTGCAGGGCATGGGGGGTCCACTCACCAGGACACATTCTTCCAGATCCATCTTCTCGAGGTCATGGCAATTCTGAAAGAGTCCACAGACATCTCTCACCACGCAGCTGGTGTGAGGGCAGCCCTGGGGGCTTGCCCTGTTCCCAAAGCGCCCCGTCAGCCAGCATAAGCAGGTGCCCTTTGAATCACATCCACTTGGGAATGGGAATAGGGCTGCCCTGGCTGCATGTCCTCACATCCTGGAAGGTAGTTGCCCAGTCTTCACAGATGCCAGAGCGGAACAGGTCCTTAGGTGGGGCAGGAGGAAGTGTACCAGCGGCCCCAGGAAAGGGTTACTGGCAGCAGGCCAGAGGGCCCCCACAGGGGTCTGCATTTGCAGAGGCAGCTGGTCGGGTCTGTGGCAGGAAGGCCATCTCCTCCCAGGGAGGAGGCTCCTCTATTGTGGTCCCACCTGACCACATGCGAGAGGTCTAGACCTGCTACAAATCCCTCCAGACCGCCCCAGCTTTCTGACCAGCTGGGGAAAAGGCACGGCACACCCTGAGGACTCTGACTTGGTGCCTGTTTACTTTTTTCCACACTCCAAAACCACTCCAATCACTCTGAATGGGGGAGGTGAATTAGAGTTTGGTTTGGTTTTTTAAAACCTTCGCCTTACCCGAGCTAAGAGTGTAAAGCCTGCATCGGTCAAATGGGAACACCGGGCAGCCTCTAAAATCCTGGGATAAGGAGAAAAAAGCAGCGACTGGTCAGCAATAGAAACTCATCCTCTATGGCGCACACTCGAGTTCCTTCTGCTCCTTGACACTTGCTTCTGGTAACAGCCCTAAGGTGGTAATGCAGATACTGTCCCCACTGGAAGGACGAGGAAAACGAAGCTTAGGGAGGAACGGGACCTGCCCTGAATCCCAAAGTCCCATCCGAAATTCGGGACAGGAAGCCAGCAATCTTCCCACACAGTACAGTACGTTGTTGCTGCTGTTGTTTTTAAATATTTTCCCAATATTGTTATCTTTAAACACAATTAAAATGAACTTTTACTCAACAAAATCATGGTAAATACTGCATTTACTGAAATTCTCAGTTACCGTAAAGGAAAACTTAAAATTTATAGCCAGTGAGAGATAGAGTTAATTCTCAATACCCATGCTTAACAGGATGGATGCATAAATAACATTTTTAAGTTAAATACTCTTATAGCAATAATTTTAACCTCCTTTCTGACCAGTTTTAATCCCAGATTCCTTTTATGCAGAAATGTCAAAATTATCTAGAATCTTCCCTAATACAACAGTAAAAAAAAAAAATGGGCAAAAGATATAAAAGACAACCTTTATAGGATATGTAACTGATACAAGCAAGAGAAATCAGTTCCACTAGCAAATAAAAAATAATAAAAGCAGCCCGGCCAGCGTGGCTCAGTGGTTGAGCATCAACCTATGAACCAGGAGGTCACTGTTCAATTCCCGGTTGAGGCATATGCCCAAGTTGCGGGCTCAATCCCCAGTGTGGGGCATAAAGGAGGCAGCTGATCAAGGATTCTCACTCATCATTGTTGTTTCTCTCTCTCCCTCTCCTTTCCTCTCTGAAATCAATAAATTATATTTAAAATAATAATTAAACAAGCATCTTTTTTCTGCCTATTGGATAGGGAGGGGCTAAGATTGCTGGTTTTGAAGTCAAACTCCACAAGTTCAAATTCTAGTTTTACTTCTTACTCATCATGTGATCCAGAACAAATTATGTGGTTTTCTTTGAGTCTCAGTTTCTCCTCTGCAAAACATGTGACAATAGTAGTACATACCTCCTAGAGATGTGGTGAGGATTAAAGGAGATAATGCCTAACGCAGAGCATTAATAAATGAGATAATGCCTAACATAGAGTTCAACGGATATTAACTATGATTAGTATTTTGTTGCCATTATTAAAGACTTAATATTCACTGTATTATGTGGCAAATCAAAAAATAAATCATTTTTTGTTAAAACAAAACTTTTCTTCTGGCTAGGAGATGATAAATAGGGCGATTGGGATTCCCTTGCCCCTCCCCCCTTCTGTCCATTTAGCAGCTGGTTTAGAGGAGAAACTGGTGACACTTGGAAGCGAGGCTGTCATCCTGCTCACGATCAGATCGCTCTGATATCAATAACAGGATGAGGCAAATCAGGTGGGCCTGTGCGGTCCGTCAAGACATTACGGTTCCTATTCCCTGGTGGTGGACACTACCCCTACATTCCAAAATGAACTGGGTGCCACACTGTCCCGCCCTGACCCATCCAACAACAACGTAACCACTGCCCCCTCCACCAGCACCTGTTCCACCAGATGGCAAGCCTTTCCCCTCCAATGGAAACCCTCCTGGTCAGCCCACCACAGTCTGAGCTGCAAAGCGGAAGGCATGCACACTCACTGAAGTCTCGGGCAGTTCAGCGCCAGGGCTGTGAGAGAGGTGTCCGTGAGGTTGCTGCAGCCAGACAGGCAGAGGGCCTGCAGCCGGGGGCATCCCCTGCAGATCTGCACCACGCCTTCGTCCGTAATGCGCTGGGAACCCAAAACAGGAAGGCAGGTCAGAAGGCACAGGAAACTGAAACGTGGATCTACTGATGGTCCACTGGTCTAGGTTGCCAGTTACCAGCACTGCAGCCTAGTAATTTAAACAAAATAAAGTGATGTACTCGGCAGACGGGTATTGATGTTCTTTCTGCACAGCTTTAAAAATATTCTAGCATTACTAATGAGAGCGATATTTTAAAATTCCACTTACCTTCCCAGATTCATTGGATTTTCAGGAAAAATTCATAAACTTATATTAAAAATCAGATTAAATAAAAAGCTCATGAGACTTCGCTAAGTGACATTAATTTTTGGTTGAGTTTCTATAGATTAATGCTTTAGTTATCTACCATATAAATGCTATGTGTCTATAATGGAAAAGTTAAATAAATCACTAAATTATTGATAAGTCAATATTCAAAATAACATCTTTATTTAAATATACTAATTTAGGTGGAGATAAAAATGCATTTATGTTATACTAGAGGCCCAGTGCACAAAATTCATGAAAAAAAAATGGGGGGAGGGGGTCCCTCAGCCCAGCCTGTGCCCTCTCGCAGTCCCGGACCCCTCGCTCCTTACTGCCCGCCTGCTTGCTGCTCCTTAGTGCTGCCGCGGAGGCGGGAGAGGCTCCTGCCATCGCCACTGCACTTGACAGCCATGAGCCGGCTTCTAGCTGAGAAGTGCTCCCCCTGTGGGAATGCAATGACCACCAGGGGGCAGCTCCAGTGTTGAGTGTCTGCCCCCTGGTGGTCAGTGCACGTTGTTCAGCTGTTCGGTCAATTTGCATATTAGGGTTTTATTATATACTAGAGGCCCGGTGCATGAAAATTCATGCACTGGAGGGGGGACCCTCAGCCCAGCCTGCCCCCTCTCACAGTCTGGAAGCCTTCAGGGGCAGGAGGTGACCTGGCAATCAGGGGAAGGTGATGCCCATCACACCTCTGCTACTGCCACTGCCGGCTGTGCAAGCCTTAGCCAGCTCTGGTTACCTGAGCCTCAGGCATCCCTGGGCGGCTGGGCTGCCACCATCTGAGGCTTGCCTGCGCCTCAGGCCGGCCCTGAGCGGTTGGGAGGCTGAAGGGACTGGGGGTCTCCGGAGGCAGGTATGTGACGCGTGCTGAGGCGTCTGCGCGCCGCCATCTTGTGGCTGTGGGCGCCGCCATCTTTGAGGATGAGGCAGTCAATTAGCATATTCCTTCCTTATTGGCTGTGGGCGCCGCCATCTTTGAGGATGAGGCAGTCAATTAGCATATTCCTTCCTTATTGGCTGTGGGCGCCGCCATCTTTGAGGATGAGGCAGTCAATTAGCATATTCCTTCCTTATTGGCTGTGGGCGCCGCCATCTTTGAGGATGAGGCAGTCAATTAGCATATTCCTTCCTTATTGGCTGTGGGCGCCGCCATCCTTGAGGGTGGGGCAGTCAATTAGCATATTCCCTCCACATTGGCTGTGGGCACTGCCATCTTTGAGGGCGGGGCAGTCAATTAGCATATTCCCTTCTTATTGGCTGTGGGTGTCGCCATTTTTGCGACAGTGTGAGGGTCAATTAGCATATCCCCTCTTTATTAGATAGGAGGATTTCAAGTCACAGCCATATTAGGGTTTTATTATATAGGATTTCAAGTCACAGCCAGTGCTAGCCTACATGCAATTCAAGGTCTGACTTTAAACAACTGCAGGCCCCTCAGTTAATATATGTCCAGAAGATAGCTTCTCCTTTACCTCCCATTATCAGGGACTCTAGAGATTTATGATTCACGCGCTAAAATCCCAAATGCAAGGGACTTCTTGCCTGAGAAACCAGTATATGTAGGAAGCATCCTCAGTTTCAGCATTTCCAAGGGCAGGGGAGAGGAACTGCAGCTTTTCCCAGGCTCGTGCGCTGCTGGAAAGGACGCCCTGCCCTGCCACATGCCCTTATTCCTAAAGCATCCGCATGTCTGTTGTTCCTTCTTATTTACTGACACAATGTGAGAAGTGTCATCATCCCCCGTTTATAAATAAATAAATAAAGACACTGAGGCCTTACCATGGATTGATGAGGTCAGTGACAGCCTTCCTAGTATCTTAAACAACCGACCCCGAGCTACATCATTTACAGGGGAAGTGTCAGAGGCTGTGCACGGGCCTTTCTGTTTACAGTGGTGTTGTTTCGTCTTGTGGCAAATGGACAGATCACAGAAGGACACAGGATAAGAGGTCAGGTGTGGCGATCATCCTGCCTGCCTGGGTGCGTCAGGGGACCCCACGCCCCCGCAGTTTCTGAGGGAGGACACGAGCAGGAGGGTGCACAGCGGACAGGCATGCTACTTACTGGGCAGGACTGCAGGTTGAGGCTCACGAGCTCATGGCAGTAGTTCTGAATGTGTTTTAGAGCTTCGTCTTCTAACTGGGACGGAGAAGACAAGAGGGATGGAACCAGGTGAGAGAACAGTGGGGCACCAAGGAAAATGCAACAGCAAGGCCCTCATCAAGTGCCCACCCTAACTTCAGATATCGGTAGTCAGCGCAGCTGCGTCAGCCCTGGTACCTGTGTGCAGCCCCGCAAGAGCAGGGCCTTCAGGCCTCGGCAGCCGCGCACCAGGGCCTCGATGCCATCCTTCGTGATCTGATCACACCACGAGAGGTTCAGGTACTCCAGGTTCCGGCAGCCCTCGCTGAGAGAACAAGAAACACAACCACGCATGTGCAGTCTAGCCTGCAGAGCATGCATTACCAACACTGAGTTTAGTAAATCACTGGGGAGAGAGGACCCCTGTGACCATTAGAAAGGTGTCGGACACACCAAGGTGTTCATAGCTTTGGGTGCTTCTCTTGACCACAAACAACAGGTCCTCGTACCTAATCCCTTTTAAGGAGCTGTTGGTGATGGACACGCAGGAGGTCAGATCCAGATGTTTCAGCTTGGCACAGAATCTGCTAAGACTGTAACACGTGCTGAGAAAGAGCAGAGGCACTAAAGATATTTTCAACCATGTTTCTCTCCTCTCTGTCTCCCCATAGCCAATTAGTCACCAAACTAGTTTTCCCTACTTACCTGTCAGTGATTTTTGTGCACCCATTGAGGTTTAAGTGTTCGATGTTTCGGCAGTTCTGTGCAAAGGTCCTAAAAAGAGAACACATTTAAAAACTCCCTGCAAGTTGCCAGGCAGCCACTAGAGGGCGTGTATAACCATTCACATTTACAACAGTGCTCCTCAAACTTAAAATTTTTATATTATTGGACAAAGAACACTTAACATGAGATATATTCACTAAATAAAATTTTAAGCGTACAATATGTTACTGTTGGCTATAAGTACTAGTGCTCCTCAAACTTTAATGTGCACACAGAAGAGCTTGGGGTTCTGTCCCTACTGACCCCAAAGTCATGGTCTGTCACTACTCTACACCAGGGGTGGGGAAGGCCCGGCCTGCAGGCTGTATAAGGCCCGCAAAGTCATTGGGTCTGGCCCTGCCAAGGCATTAGGGGTGAGTTAATTAAATGTGTGACCAAATATAGCAGGCTGATTTTTAAGCTGATAATTTTGTATGGCCCCGGAATGATGTTATAAATATCCACAAGGCCCTTGGCAGAAAAAAGGTTCCCCACCCTGCTCTAAGCAAATCACCAGGAAAGAATTTACAGAAGAAAAACACACAAGATGCTTAGTGTATTTTCGCTGATGGAAATGTCAGCTACAACCTGCTGTGGCTGGCGAGTCACTGAGGTTCGACTTACTTCAGGGAGGAATCCCCAACACCAATGCAGCCTCGCAAGCTGAGCTTCCGCAGGAACCCGCCGCAGCGCTTGGAGATGTTTTCCACCACTCGACCCTGGAACCAAGAAAGTTAGAGAGAAATTTTGTTTTTCATGCTGCTTATCTAACTGAACAATAACCTGAAATTTAGGAAGTTCAGAAACTGAATATTAATATTAAAGCTGTTATAAAATAAAATTTTCTCATTTGGTCAGGTTTACCACTCTTAAATAGAGGTATACATATTTCCAGATAAGTATACCAGAATCTCAAAATTGTAAGAGGCTTTAAAGATTATTTTATAGGCAATAAAACCGAGGCACTGAGAAATTATGTGGCTCAAGTGGCCGAGCTGGAGTGACACTTCAGTGACATCTTGCCTCACTCCTGGCTCATGCTGCTGCCCTTTCTCCATTCTTCTTTATTTATTTTATTTTTAAAATTTTTATTGATTTCGGAGAGAGAAAGAGAGGGAGAGATAGAAACATCAATGATGAGAATCACTGATTGACTGCCTCCTGCATGTGCCCTATTAGGGATCGAGGCCGCAACCCAGGCATGTGCCCTGACCGGGAATCAAACCGTGACATCCTAGTTCATAGGTGGATGCTCAACCACTGAGCCACACTGGCTGGGCCCTTTCTCCATTCGTGACGGTGAATTTAGAATTCTCAGTGGATCTTTCAGATCAACAACTATTTGTCGATTGTCCCCTCATATTAAATCAGAGAAGCAGGTGTTAATGAGGCAGGTGTTGAGGCTTTAAGAAGCTAAGTGGTAAAACTCAGATTATAAATATGAAAAAAGTAATCTGTTACCAATACAGAGCATAGTAATATACAAGCAGCATTTTGGTCTGTATGCATGGAAATATCTTCTAGGTTCCCCTCTCTATTCTACCTCCTTTTTTTTTTTCAATTTTTAATTTCTTTATTGATTAAGGTATTACATATGTGACCTCATTCCCCCCCATAACCCCCCCCACTCTTGCCCTCGCCCCCCTGTTGTCTGTGTCCATTGGTTGGGCTTATATGCATGCATACAACTCCTTTGGTTGATCTCTCACCCTTACCCCCACCCTCTATTCTACCTCTTGCCACTTTAGTATTAAATCTAAATGCAACACAAGAAACATGCAGGGAAAAAGGAGCAGTTCACTTATCTTCTTAAAAAGTCTTTTGTCTAAAACACGGTTAACTTACCTCTACATCTGTTTGAAAGTTAAAAAGGTCTATTCTTTGCCAGTTGCTTCCATCCAGGGCTAAGATGTTCCAAGCCTGGGAGGTGGAAGTAGAGGAGGAGGGATTGGGGTGGAAAAGATACATTTATTGAGACCATTAAAGAAAGTCTTGACTCAACCTTTGTATTTTCAAGCTTGTATTCTTGATATACATTAAGTTTATCATCAAATATGGAATTATGACAAGAGTGTGTTACATTAAATATAAAAGATGACATTTTAATTTTTAACTATTTACTTGAACTGAAACTCATCCACATTCTAATAAAGCTTGAGAGTTACTGATGAAAAATCTGGTTGATACCTTACCTTGGAAATCTGGGCACATCGGCACAAAGTTACTATATCCAAGAAGGAAAATATTCTAGGAAGAAAGGGAAAAAAACACAAAGAATGAAACGGTGTTAACATTTCAGGATATCTATAACTTGAAAGATACAACCTAATGAGCCATCTGGATAGCTTCATAGTTTGTTTGTTTTTCAAGTTTCATCAATTTGCAACACACACGTATGCTATAATTTTACACACTACTGTGAAATATTAAATGTTTGCATGTTCCCAAGCTGTTTCAGATGCACGACACACAAATCCCCTTAAAACAGAACTCATTACACTTAATTTCCCTGGCTCTAGGCATGGACATGAGACAGACCACAACTTGTTCTATTCAAAGACCAATCTCCCAGGAGCTAAGTCTGGTGAGAGCTGAATCCTTCTAATTCTGTGCCCTGCCTCACAGCGCAAACCCCTCTTTTGGGGGGAAGATGCCCTAACCAGGCTCAGATGCCGAGCCTCAAACAACATGGCCAAGAAAAGTTCGATGATAAAACCTATTTGGGCAGAAAAATGGAGCTCAAGGTCTATAAGTGACCAGTTTTTTATGAGCAAAAGCCAAGAAGCCACAGAAGATGGGAAAGATGGGGAAAAGGAAAGCAGAGAGAAGCACACAGAAACTTAGTTGACACCAGTAAGCCCCTGGAGGAAGCAGGGGCCGTGCGGCAGGGGCCTGGGTTGGGTCCTGACATCCTGGCAGTGGAGTCGCTAAGGACAGCTTAGTGGCCAACAGCTGCGTGCGCCTCAGTCGTGGGCAGTGACAGTGAAAACAACAGCTTCTCTAGGAGAACACAGGTGCATGGGACGAGGTGAGGACAGTAATAGGATCTCAGTTCTTATAGTCCCAGAAGGTAAATATGAGAGTCTGTGTGTGGAAGGGGGGCAAGGAGGGGATGGCAAACAGCCACCTGTAAGTTCTTCAAAATTCTTCAGCGAAACAGTCAGTGGTGCGCTGAAAATCTGTGGGCTCGGGGAAGAATAGTAATAAAGCACCAGACAGCTGTACCCTATGACAATGCACCCACAAGCAGCACCACAAGGCTAGTGTTAGCATAAATACCATTCTACAAGATAGGCTTCAGTCATGTTCTAGTGAAAAGCCAAGGAGAGACGCATAAGGGCTGCACTGACCTTAACAGACTCAGTGGAACTTTGTACATAGAGAAGTGCTAGTGGCTGAAAATGAGCACTTAAATATATATTTCGGGGTGTCTGCACACCTACATTGCCTCTGTGGGAATACATCTTGTCCACAAAAAGCCATCCTACCTCAAATGTCCATGTTCTGTGCCATATGACCATTTCACAAGGAGCCACAACTTACTGCCAGCTCCATGAGAAACCAGGAGAGGCAGAGAAACAAGTACAGTACAGCAGAGTCATACTCCATGCTGGGGTTGGTCTCTAGGTACCAACTGAGGGTGAAAAAGGAGTTAGCTAAGTTTCCCTTGAAAATCCCTTATGAATGTACCACCTTGGAGACCACATACGCTATCACCTCTTGGTAGTATAACAATAACAATAGTTAACATTGACTATGTACTTCCTATGTGCTAGCCGCAGTTGATGTTAGTCATTTAGTTGTGGCGACAATGCTATGAGGTGCCACTGCTATCTCCATTTACAGATAAGGGCACTGAGCACAGAGAGGTTAAGTAATCTGCCAGGCCACATACAGACAGTGAGAGTGGAGCTACGATGTGAACCGAGGTAGTCTAGCTGGAGAGCACGAGCCCATGACTACTCTGCAAGCTGCCATAATGATGAACGCAGCTGCTTCCCCTCAGGATTGGGCCAGATGCTATTTCTTCCACTGAATAGCAGACGACGTAGTCTGTGTTTAATGAGCATACTATGTGGAAATCATAACTTTAAATGCTAGAATCATAGCAACTGAAGCAAGATGCTCACACATTCAGACAACAGAGAGCCAACAGCTGGGACACAAGTCCACATTTCTCATCTCATGCTTAGTGCCCCATCTGATGGTTACTGAATGAAAACGCAGATTTGCTGTAGTATTTACATCATTGTCCCTCTCCCCAAAGCCCCCATGACTCTCTGTGGTTGAGTTTGCACACGTCCATCTGCAAGCTAGGACTCCAAACTGGCAAACTGCAGCCTAAGCCAAGTTCCTGAGTCATGTGTCAGCGAATGAAACAAATGCCCGGAGTGACAGAGCTGGGACACTGGCAACAGAAAGAGACAGAGGAGTTAGATCAGTGGGATACTGAGGTCTGGCTCTTGAAAGTATTTTTTTCCCTGGAAATTACTTCCTATCTCATTGTGGTAACTTCGCCCGTAATTAGAAAAGCATGGCAGGTCCTGGCCAAGCTGGTTAGAGTGTCCTGATTCACCCAAGTTGTGGGTTCAACCTCCAGTCAGGGGAATCAGCCAAAGAATGCAAACCGATGTTTTGTTTCTCTCTCTCCTCTCTCTCTCCCTCCCTCCCTCCCTCTCTCTCTCTCTCAAATCAATAAATATTTTTTAAAGCACTGCAATGGCAACTTGGTTATCAATACATATGTACAGGGGCATATAGAGTGGATGTACTTCGGACTTTGTATTCTGTTCCATTGGTCTGTCCACCTTAATAAGACCATTTTATAATTATGAAGCTTTATAATAAGTCTTGATGTCTGGTAATGTAAGTCCTTCAACCTTGTTCTTATTCATCAAGATTACCTTGGTTAGTCCTGGCTATTTGTGGTTCTTTGAATTTCCACTTATGTTTTAGAATCGGCATATCAATTTCCACAAGAAAAATTGATGAAATTTTTAATGGGATTTCACTGAGTTTACAGGAACTTGGGGAGAATTGGAATCTTTACAATATTAAGTCTTCCAATCCAGAAACTATCAATAACTACAAGGAAATCTACAGACCAGTCTCTCTTGTGAGCATGATGCAGAAATCCTAAATCAAATCCAGTGATACATAAAGATTTAACATATCATGGTCAAGTCTAACACTGACTTAACATTTTAAATCAATGTGATTCATATTAATAGAACTAAGGAATAAATCCTTATGCTATCTCAAAAGATGAACTGTGGGACAACGATAAGAGGTAACATGCACATAATGGCAATACCTGAAGAAATATTTGAGGCAAAACCGAGAAGTTTTCAAATTTAATGATAGGTACCAAACCATGCTGTCCCAAACCATAGATGCAGGAAGCTCAGAGAACTCCAATCATGGCAAATACTGGCCTATAATTTAACTTTTTTATAACATCCTCATTCAGTTTGGTATTAGGTAATATTGGCCTCATGAAATTCCCTTTAATCTACCCTAAAAATATTTTAGCTACTTTGCTTCAAATATTATCCCTCCTACATTTTCTCTATATTCCTTGTCTATAATTTCCTTTATACATACGTTGAATCATCTAATTCCATCTTCTGGGTCTCTTAATCTTTTCTGTATTTCCATATCTTTATTTTTCTATGCTAAATTATGTATACATTTCCCATCTCTATTTTTCAGTTCTCTAATTACCTTTTCAGCTTCATCTAATACCGCAGATGTTTAATCCATTTATGGACCCTTATGGTGGATCATTTCTTTAGGTACCTTGTAATGTTTTATCATGATCTCATTTTCTTTTAAATATTTTTTTTCAAACTGAATTTCCTAATTTGGAGAATCTTATTATAACTATGTTTTTATTTATTTCAGAGAGAGGAAGGGAGAGGGAGAGAGAGAAGTATCAATGATTGGCTGCCTCCTGCATGCCCCCTACAGGGGATCGAGCCCACAACCTGGGCATGTGCCATGACTGGGAATCGAACCGTGACCTCCTGGTTCATGGGTCGACCCTCAACCACTGAGCCACACCTACCGAGCATGATCTCATTTGCCTCTGATTATTGATGTGTAGAAAGCTCACACATCTTGGTTTTTTAAATGTCCCTATAAAATTTTTACATTTGATTCTGCCAAGTTCCCCCCAAATTTTCATCTTTCTGGCATAAATTTTACATTAATTTCTAAGCTTGGAATTTCTAAATCATGTATACATGAGGTCAGATTTCTCAAGAAAGACCTTTTTCCCCTTCACCCAAAGCCCCGATCAGAAACAAGTCTTTTGTTTGTTTTTCTGGTTTGGTTTGGTTTTAAATTCCCATCTTACATGTCAGGAATCTTCCCAGGGTCTCTGCTTTGTGTAGTGGTCACATATTCGGCTCCTCCCCTTGTCCATACAAGGCCTCATCTCCTTTCTCAAGGTAGCAGTAAAATCAGAGCCACTGATAGTTTGCTAACCACTCCAGTTATGAGTACACAGAGATTATTTCTTTCCTGAACTATATTTACTTTTTGTTTTATCTTATCATAATCATTGTTTTCCTTGTGTTTTCATGCTAGCCCAATTACAAGGTTACAGAATCCAGAAGTCAGGTGTTCCTTTTCTTTGATAACAATTAACAGTGTAGTATAGGGTGTCTCAAAAACCATATAGAAACACACTTTCAATAACTATAAAGGCAGTGTTTATTAAGATACATTTCATTTTCAAAATTGAGCATCAGCTGTTAAAGTGTGTATACATTTTTTGGGACACCCTGTACATAGAATGCTCTACAGGGTAGAATACCAACTATCCTTCCCTTCCATTACTGTATCAAAAAACAGCAGCAGCAACAAAACACTAGGTACATGAGCTATTTGATTACACATATGACTTATAGTGCTGAATAATCTGTTCAACCAGAAGTTTTTGCTCTGCTGAATAGAATAAAACCTTTATGCCTTATCTTTTATAGGTGAATATATGAAGATATATGAGGGTGGTGTATGTTTTTTTGTAGATTATAAGGCTAATATCCTGTACACAACTCTTTTTTTACTGAAAAGCAGTAAGATATAGAAGGAAGAACATGAGAGTTAAAGTCAATAGGCCTTGAAGCCTCAGAACCACACAGACCCTTCACACTCCAAAGCTCATGTTTTTAACAACTGTGGAATCTTGATCAACTCATTCAACCTTTGAGCCTCAGATTTTTCACCTATAAAATGAAGAT